AACAATTTTAAATTGTATTTGTTTATTCACATCGCACAGTGCTTAGGGGCTACTGTGCTCAGGAGTGACCTCTGATGATACTTTGGGACCAGGTGGTGCCAGGGAACGAACCAGAGTTGCCTCATGCCCGGCAAGTGCCTCAACTTCGTTCCTGTGTCTCCCCCTCCCAGGAGAGGGCACCTGTGGCTCAGAACGGCCTTGCGGGACTCTCTCTCCTCAAGATCACTCCTCAAGTGACACCAACTCCCCAGCGTTGCTGGTGGCCTGACTCTGAAAGAGAGAAGGTCAGAGCATGGAATCAAATTGCCCAGCAAGCACTGGAGATTTTTTTAGTGTTTGTGTTGGAAGTGACAGCATTTATTGTATCATTTCCTGCTGACCCATCAGTCCCAAGAATATCAGGGCTCTGCTTTAGAAAATCACTTTGCTCGAGCTTGCAAGTCAACCAGGCGTACCCTGCTACCGTGCTGGAAGCGTTCCTTCCAGTCTCTCCTCTTCTCCTTTCAGCTCATTGGCTAAGGAGGTGACTCTGGTCAGTGTGAGAAAAGAAGACAGTGACACACACTGTCCTTTGGAGCACCTCCTCCCACAGCCATTCCGTCGGGTGGGTGAATTTTGGTTTTGGCCAGTGCAGACGCCGGGCACAGAATGCAGCGCTGGGCGGGAGTTTTTGCAGGCCTGTCGAGCTGGGTAGTACTTCTGCCGAGTCACACTCTATCAGCCGCCTATATTTGGGGAGGTTGAGTCACATCACCAAATATAGCCTGTGCCTTCTGCGTGACTCCAGAAGGCAGCCGAGCCGCCTCTGCACTCATTCAGATGCACTTAAGACGAGGTGGCGCCCGGCTTCAGGCCTTTCTGTAGGGCAGGAGCCCCTCAGAGTTTGACCAGAGCTCCCCAAGAGGTCAGCTGCCTGGAATTCCCAGGCCCTCCTTTCCCTGGAGGGACGCCCAATCCTAGCCTCTGTTTACGACTATGAATGATCAAAACCCCAAACAGCCCAGGTCCCCCCAGCCCCCTTACAGTTTTATTTAGTGATATTTGTTATTTTTATTTGACTTTACTTTGTCCATTTGTGAAATGCTAAATGTTCTTGGTGTTTTCATTTGGTTCGTTTTTGGTTTGGGGGGCACGCCCTGCCGTGGTGGGGGTGGTATTTCTGGCTCTGTGCTCGGGGTCACGCCTAGCAGTGCTTTGGTGGGGGGCACGTGTGACTATAGGGGTCGCTGATGCAAGGCAGATGCATAGGATTATCTTGCTGGCCCCTAAATGTTACCTAAGTCAGTGGAATAATCTCATGAACGTTTAGCCCTGAGCTTCGCAGGGAACTCTAGGCCCCTAAGCTCTCATTCCAGAGGGTGTATTATGTCAAAGAGACAAGAGCTAGAATGATTATACAAGGTGGCTCAAAGTTGGGGGAGGGAAGGTCCTTTTGGGAAAAGATGCCCTTAAACAAAGCGACTCTGAGAAAGAGCATACACACACCAAGAAAAAGATTTGGAAAAGATTTCTACGTGCCAAAGAAGCCAGGGCAGCTGTTGGCGATAGGAGAGGAGAAGGGCTTGTCAGGACGCTAAGCATGGGCTTGGGAAAATGCAGAAATGCTGTCAAGGGGGCTGGAGTCATAGTCCAGCAGGGAGGGCGCTTGCCTTGCATGCAGCTAACCCAGGATCGATCTCCGCATCCCATATGGTCCCCCCAGCACTGCCAGGAGCAGATCCTGAGCACAGAACCAGGAGTAACCCCTACCATCACCCGGTGGGCCCCCAAACCCAAAGACATGTGGTAGAAATGGGCATCCACACCGCTGGGGAGTACTCCCGGAGAGGAAAGGGGGAGCACAAGGAGATTTGGGCAAGACCAGAAGACCGGACTGGCCCAGGCTCTTCTAGAACCGAGCTCTCAGATTTCCAGAAAGAACGAATGTGTCATTCGTAACCAAGTCATGAGCGGGTGACTTCTTATGTTTCAAAAATAGTATTTAAGGATGAATAGGGAGAAATTAGGGAAGAAGCTCTTGAAAAGTTTCTTTTTTGCTTTCTTTTAAGTTTGGTGTGTTAAGTGTCACTGCTGCTATTTTTTTTTTAAAGGAAGAAAAACCTTTATCAAGAGTCTCACAAAGTGCTGACAGGGGTCTTTGCTTTTCAGACGCCACATTCACTCCAGCCCAGCAGAAATCCTATCCTAAGACTAGGTTGAAAAAGGAAAATCCAGTATCCCATTTTGGAGCTCAGTTGTGAACTTGGTCAGTGATGCTTCAGCTGAAGGACAGACTTTCTGCATGTGGGGGAGCAGAGAATGTGTCCAGAGCTGATGCGTAGGTTGCAGGGGGCAGTCACTTCAGGTTGCTCTGAGGCAAACTTCTGAGAACTGAATTAAAGGACATTTTGTTCTGAACAAGTTGAAATTTTCTTCTTATCTTTCTTTCTCTCCCCCAAACCCTCCCCACACCCCCGTAAATGGTGCCTAAAAGGTGAGTTTCTGATAAGGTGAACCTGATTTATTAAACTGGACCAGCAAGTTTGGTCATTTGTTTCTTGGATTTCTCACTGTTCATTGTCCTTCCTTGTCACTAACTGGGAGGGCACAGTCATTTACGTGAGACAGCTCTGGTTTCAGTCACAGCATTAGCCCTGAAAACCTTCTTCGCGATAACAAAACATTGCCTTGTAACTCCTATGAATAGAGTGGAGTGTTTTGGTTTCTGTGTTGACTTTTGGCATCTTTTTCCCCCTTAAGCAAATAGTTTATGGCATATAAAAACATCTAAATATGTTCGGTTTGTTTTGAGGTTTTACAGCGACAAAATGTTTACCTATGTCCCATCACAGATTATCACCTGCAACTTTGAATTAAGTGCTCCAGAAGCTGCCTGCCCGCTGCTTAGACATGGCTCATTCCAGCAGGAGTCCCTAGTCAAGTCTTCGCTTTTCATTTGGGAGGTGGTGAGGGTGTGGTTTTGGCCATACCCAGTAGTGCTCAGGAGCCACTCCTGGCTCAGGGGACCAGTCAGTCCTGGCTCAGTGGTGCCTGGGATTAAACCAGGATTGGCTGTGTGTCATGAAAGCGCCTAACTCCTGTGCTAGGTCCCTGGCCGAGTCTTGGCTTTAGAAAAAAATGTTCTGACAGATTCTGTCATCCGGGTTTGTTTCAGACAACTCAAATAGAATTTGCTGGATCTGCATACTTGGCTTGGTCATTTACCAATAAATAATAAAAGCAGTTTCTTTTTTGCAAAAGTTGGAAATACCCAACATTAATTTTTGCCTCCTCGTTTCCCCATCCCCCTGCCTCCTTCCCCTTTCTAGAGAAGACCGACTTGTAATAATACTTAAGTTGTTTTTAAAATCTTTGTATTTGGGTTTTAAATTATAGGAAAGGGCTGGAGCGATAGCACAGCGGGTAAGGCGTCAGCCTTGCACGCGGCCAATCCGGGTTTGATTTCCCGCACCCCATATGGTCCCTCAAGCACCGCCAGGAGTGATTCCTGAGTGCAGAGCCAGGAGGAACCCCTGAGAATCGCTGGGTGTGACCCAAAAAGAAAAAAAATATTTTTTAAATAATAGGAAATACATTACATTCAGATTATGTGTTTCTGTTTGACTCCAAGTTTTATTTTATTTTATATATTTTTTGCTTCTTGGGTCACACCCAGCGATGCACAGAGGTTCCTCCTGGCTCTGCACTCGGAAATCACCCCTGGCAGTGCTCAGGGGACCATATGGGATGCTGGGAATTGAACTCGGGTTGGCCGCATGCAAGGCAAACGCCCTACCCGCTGTGCTATTGCTCCAGCCCCTTGACTCCAAGTTTTAGCTGTGGTTTCATTCATGTTTACCAACACCAGGAGGTTGTATGCAGTCCACTCCAGTTTGACCCCTGACACTGCATGGTCTCCCCCAAACTTTATCTGGAGTGGCCCTCTGAGCCCAGGACCAGGAGTAACCACCGAGCACTGCCAGGTGTGGGCCCAATAATACACAAACCAAACAAACAAACAAAAAAAAGGTACCAGAAGGAGAGAATGTGTGGCTTTTTCTGTGGAGACTCTTTGAACTCAGTAGGATTTTGAGTGATTACAAGGGTGCTAGTCCCACTGTTGGCGCTGGCCCCCACTTGGCCAAATTGGCATGGCATCTTGGGAGTCTTGCCACAGCCTGAGCCACTTCTTCATGGTCTTAGAGCGTGAGCAGAGGTCCAGCTGTGTCCATTTAGGCTCTGCTTCTGAGTGGACTCTTGTCACTGAGTCTACTCTAATGCCCATATCCTGATGTAACGCACCCTAGATGCTGGTCACTCGTCCCCCTGGAGTTCCCCTTGCCTTTCCTTAGGTGAGCGCATCTCACGGGGAGTCACAGGCCAGCCCAAAGTGTTGCCACCACAATCAGATTCCCCGCAGCAGAGACACTTGGTGCTCTGGCTCTGAATTCTGTAGAAGAATTCTGTAGAAGAATAGCACTGTGTGCAGAGAGAGAACACGGGGGCAGGTGCTTATGTTGCACAGAGACAACTAGAGTCGGTCCCCCGAGCACAGAGCCAGGAGTCAGCCCCAAGCACTGCTGGATATGCCCCTCCCAAGGGAAAAGAAAAATACTGTTGCTCTCATTGCTCTAACTTCTAAGAAACCACACCAGAAAATAAAACCCACTGCATGTGGAGAGCACTGTCCCCCGGAGGGGGCAGGGGGCGAGGTCGCTCTGACCAGGTGCTGTTAGAACAAGGAACCCAAGAACACTTCTGGGGGTGGGGGTGGGAACGGGGCACAAGTGAGGAGCTGGAGTCCATGGCCGTTTCCCTGCCCGCTTCCAATCTGGCCCTTCTCAAGTGCTCTTGAATCTGCTGCTGGATGGGTCTCCTGCCTCAGGTTGGTGGCACCAGCTGAGGCTAGCCCACTACTTAGTCATTGAAATCAAAGTGATTGCATCAGCTCTGTTATTGAATACTTTTAAATCTTCTCTGGAAAACTAATGAACTGAGTAACGGCCTTCTTTTGCCTTCAGGTCGTCTAAACTATTCATACCCAGGATCCGATAGCTCTCTGCTTATTAATGGTAAGTGATCATTGATTTATCCCAGCAAAGCCTATAGCCTCACAAGTTAGTACCAGGGGAGGACGAAAAAGTTCGTTAGGTTTAGCATGGAGAAGTTCTGACTCATGTGAATTCAGTCATCATTCCAAGTCGTGGTTGGCCTGTCAGTGATTTTTTTTTACTGCTAATGGTGATTGCTACAGATTGGGGCAGTAACTTTTTTCAACTGCGAGGTCCTGTCTTGAAATCAGTGACACAGAAGAAATGAGACAACCCCCCCCCTCGGGTTCCCTGAAAAATGACTGGATCTTAACCTTAGCTTCTGTTTTATGACCTTTGAAATGTCAACATCAAAACCATTTCTACAGTGTTGGAGAAAGTGTTCCCTGGCAAGAGTGCAAGGTAATAAGAGGTTTAAAAACTAGACAGAAAGGAGCCTGAGACCACAGCATGTGGCTTTTTGCAGACGACAAGGTCACTCCGTGCTAAGGAGAACAAGAAAGGGAGGTTTCAGTCACTGCTTGCCTCAAGCACCTTCAGGAACTTCTCTTGGCCTCTTGGAAATGTGGCCACTGAGTTCTCTTTCTCCGGGCTTCTGCAGAAGCACACTTGATCTGACAGGGAAGGCAGCAGCATCTGTGCACAGGACTTAAAGGGGCAGAGGGTGGCTTTTGGAGAAGTGCAGTTGCAATACTGTCCTTGGAAGCCATCTGGAGGGGGCTGGAGCGACGGCACGGTGGGTAGGGCACTTGCCTCGCATACTGCTGAGCCAAGGAGGAAGCCTTGAGCACTGCCAAGTGTTGCCCCCACACTCACCCCCAAAAGTCACTGGGTGAAGAGCAGCGGTCTGGCTAAGTTCTCTGCTTATGACCCCGTGCGTGGGATAGCCGGTTTGTGTCTTCCTAATATGACCACGCTTTCCATTTGCCCAAATTAACTCATTTTTAAACGCTTTTTTCCAAGCCCCATCAACAAAACAAAACAAAAACCAACACCCTCCTCCTCTAACTCTTTACCAATCAAGTACTGTAAATAGGGATTTAAAAATTATTTTGGGGGTTGCTGGGATCTCTCCTTTTGGATCATATTTGAAATGAGCAGTTTGTGGAATTTAGGTGGGTTTCTGGGAAGCCAGACAGATTCTCTGTGGTAGATGAGAGTTCCTGGGTTCCTCACATCCTCGGGAAACTACACAGTTAATTGAAAACCTACCCTGGACCTAAATAGGACAGGGGTAAGGCGCTTGTCTGGCACGCAGCCGAGCCTGGTTTGTTCCTGGCACTGCAGAGATCCCCTGAGCACAGAAGCCAGGACTGATCCCTGAGCACAGAACCAGAACTTCCTAGTTCTGAGCACCACCAGCTGGGGCCTGCTGTCTCCCTACCCTGTAACAAAAATTCAAATTTTATGGAATTCAAGTCTCTCTATGCTGTAGCGGCCAGAAATAGTGGCCACAGCCGAGCCCAGAAGTGCTGGCGGCTCAGGCCGGGCAGCAGAAGGCAGCGCTGTGATCTGCGCGCTTTCCCTGTGGGCCGGGTTCGGGTTCAGGCTGGGAGCAGAGTGCCTGGAACTGCGGGTGATCTTGGGCAACGCCGTCAGCTCTTCCTTGCCCCAGTTTCTTCAGGCTGTTGCTAAATGCGGTCGGTTGCCCCTGGCGTCACATCCCCCGTGTGAAGATGAGAAGCTGCTGCCTGTGTCTCGGAAGCCACACTCCACTCGTCTTTGGAAATGTCTCTTATTACGAGATCGCCTCATCTCCACCCCCATTAGAAGGCTTTGTTTTATGAATAAATTATCTCTTTTTATTAACTTGGGGGGTTTCCAAGCAGTGCTCAGGAGGCTCTGGCCAGTGAGTCTCAGCCGGCAGAGCTTGGGGATCATCGCAGGGGCCAGGCGTTGTCAGTGGGGTACGGCTGGCAGGGCCCGCATGGTGCTGGGATGGCATGCATCCTTGCTGCTCTCTCTCTAGCTCCTCCCTTGCCCAAGAACCGGTTTCTTCTTTTTTTTTTTCCTTTTTCTTTTTGGGTCACACCCGGCAATGCACAGGGGTTACTCCTATCTCTGCACTCAGGAATTACTCCTGGCGGTGCTCAGGGGACCATATGGGATGCTGGGATTCGAACTTGGGTTGGCTGCGGGCAAGGCAAATGCCCTACCCGCTGTGCTATCGCTCCAGTCCCCCTAATAGCCGTTTTCATTGCTAGAGTTAAGGCAGCATTTGACAGTATTAATGCGTATGATCTTGATATACAAAGTTGCCACCCCTCACCCACCACCATATATAAATGTTTTCTTTTTCTTTCTTTAACAATTTTTTTTACAAAGGCACCGTCATTTACAAAATTTGTCGTAGTTGAGTTTTAGGTGTGCAGAGTTCCGCACCAGCGCTCCCACAGTGTCAGCCTCCCTCCCCGGCCCGGTCTCCCTCCTACACCCCAGCCTGGCTCCTTCCCATCCTCACCCCTAGGGGTGGCGGTTGTAGTCTGGCTCCCCTGCTTACAGCGCTGTTGGCTCTGGGGTTGGATATATCCGTGTACCAAATCTCCGTACGGGCGTTGTTCCGGGCCCTGATCACAGCCCTGTAACTTCTGGTCCACTTCTTAAATCTCCCCTCGGTTCCTTTCCTTCCTCGTCCTCCTTCCTCTGCTCTTGGGCAGCCGGTGTTCTATGCATCCCCGCTTAAATGCCTTACACTGTTCTCATCCTGGTTTTCTGTGTATCACAGAGGACTGAGATCAGCCTGTGTTTGTCCTGTGCTTTGTTCTTCTGTCTTGTATTTTGGGCCATTCCTGATTGTGCTTAGGGCTTACTCCTGGCTCTGTGCTCATGGATCACTCTTGATGGGGCTCAGGAGACTTTTGTGATGCCACGGGTAGAGCTAGGGTCAGTAGTGTACAAGGCAGATGCCCTTGGATCCCTGGCATGCCTTATGGTCCCCCAAGCACCCCCAAGAGTAATTCCTGAGTGGAGAGCCGAGAGTAACCCCCGGGCATCACCAAACACAAATAAATTAAAAATATATTTTATTATATAAATAGTAAAAGCTGCAATGAAAATTCAACCCATTGTATCCATTATTCAGTATCTGCTCTTCAGGAACTCTGCGGAGCCACTCTTTGTCTGCCCAGGCTTTAAAAGCCTCAAGAAAGATGATCAGGCAGGGTCTCTGCTTTCCGCCGACTCTTAGCTCTCAGAGCCTTTTCTCACACGCCTGTCAGTTGAAAGCTGTTTCTTGTGGGAATACAAATCTGGAAGAGCTCTCTGCATGCTCTTTCTCCCTGAGCATTTGAATTTCCACTCGGATTTTCATTAGCTGGTTTTTGAAATTGGCAAGTCATTTCCAATCTTTGGGGAAAGAAGTGGGGTTCCCATCTCAATAACTGAATGACCCAGCCTCGGAGCAGTCTCCCGCCTCAGCAGTTTGACGGAATCAGGCTGGAATCTGCATGTTCCGAGATAAAGGGGTTTTACTATCCGCACATCAGCAGATCCAGTCAGGCCTTTCTCTGGGGACCGTGCTCAGTCATCAGTTTTCATAGAATGCATGACCTTCAGACACCACTCATGACTTTTAAAAGACATGGCCAGCATAATTCAGCCTCTGCTGAGACTGTGGACCTGTGTGTTCTAAGCAATTCCTTTCTTACTGTGTTATTAGCTGTAAAGATTTTTTGGGGGGAATGGGGGTAGGCAACCTGAAGTTGGGGGTTGGGAAGGTTTAGTTGAAAGGTATAAAACTAAACTTTCAAATCGAAATCTTAGAGGCTATGTTAGTTGGCTCCTTCTGCCATAACAAGCATTTCAGATTGGCTTAAACCAAAAATTGTTGTCTAGCCTCAGAGGCTGGAAGCCTCCAAGGTCTCTGTTGTTGGGCTGTAGACGGCGTCTTTCTGCATTCTCTGTGGCTTTCCCTCCATGTATGTCTGTCCTCATCTCTTCTCGTATGGACCCTGGTCATTTTAGATTCAGGCCATACCACTGATCTCATTTAACCTTACTGATCCCCTTTTTAAGACCCTGTTTCCAAAGACAGTGACTTTTGGGGTTCCTGGGAGTTGAGACTGAAGCATCTGCCCCTTGAGGCGGGGACATAGTGCTCCTCATGACCTGCCTTTCTCTCATTCATCTTACGGAGTGGGGTTGAGTTAGAGAATATCTCTCCCCTAACCCTTTATTTTTATTTATTCTTTTTCTTTCTTTTTGGGTCATACCCGGTGATGCTCCTGGCGGTGCTCAGGGGACCATATGGGATGCTGGGAATCGAACCCAGGTCGGCCGCATGCAAGGCAAATGCCTTACTTGCTGTGCTATCACTCCAGCCCCCTCCCCTGGTCCTTTAGAAGTAGCCAGAAACCTACTCTGCTTCACAGTGAACTCAACAAAAGAATCCTCTTCTGACGCCCCCACCCCCATACCTCCTCAGGCTACCCTGTTTTGCTCTGAGCAGGTCCGAATTTAAAGCACTTCCTCTTATCCACCAGGAAACTCACCTGCCTAAGGAAGTGCCCCTGAGATGTTGCCGCCGCCACCTCTGCAGAAAGGGTCTGGGAGGGGTCCTGAGCTTTCCGAGTCCTTCAGATCCGCAGCTTCAGAAATTGAAGATGATGCCAGGGAGAGTCCTAGACCAGCAGCAAAATATGTTAGGTTTTAAAAGGCTTTCATGCTTGTAACAGATGCCTTGCTGTGATTTATTAGGTTTTGGTGCCGGGGGTTAGGAGCACACCTGGTGATACTCAGGACCAACCACTGACTCTGAGCTCAGGGAATTACTCCAGGTGGGGTTTATTGGGAGACCCTGTGCAATGCCAGTTAGCTGCATGCCACGCAAGCACCCTACCTGCTGGATTATTTCTCCAGCACCATTTCCTGCTTCTGGAAGTATCAGCTACAATACTTGCTTATTTTTGAGGAGATTAGGAGGAAAAGAGAACTTTTAAAGATGAGCAGAAAACATGTCTTAATTGTCATTCTTAAAAATAAAAGGAAGATTATGCAAAAGCAAAGGTGACAGAAATCTGTTAAAAGAGTGGGCATGGGGTGCAAATTGCTACAATACTGGCATGATCATGGTGAAAGAACATGGTGTTTATAGAAAAGACACTATGAAAATGTCCTGTGACTCTGCATTGCTCTCCAGTTGACTAGTCTGAGAGTCCTACTGAAAGCTGAAGGTAGTTGTTGAAGGCCAGCCTAAGATCTAGACACATAAATTGACTTTCGAGGAGGCGATACCATTGAACATCTGTCACCTACACAGATACATATTTTGTCCGTTTTATGTTTTGGGCCACACCCAGCGGCTACTCTTGGCTCTGTGCTCAGAGGTCACTCCCAACAGTGGTCGCGGGACTGTACCAGGGATCAATCCCAGGCCTCCCGCGTGCAAACTGTAGCTGTCTCCTTTGTCTGATTCACTAACTCTCTGACCCCAATCCTTGTGTTACTCTCATCAACCCTCCATATTCATCAGTAAGCTGAGTGTGGAGGAGATCCAGAAATTAGAATGGCATGTCTTCTGTCTTTATTCTCTCATATCTCATATCTTCATTCTCTCTTAGCAACATTCTTTGATGTACTAGCAAGCTATATGAAACCCAAGTCAATGTGACCTAGGAAATTCTAGCTATTGAACATACCTAAGATAATTTTGCGACATTCAATTTAGGTGTGTTGGATTAAACATTTGAAAGTGTTTTGTTTTTTTTTTTGGCATCTTTACAGGTTGTATGCCTTGTTCTTTTGGATTTTTTTTGGGGGGGGGAGGGTTCTACTCACTTTTTCCTTTTCCTGATTAATTCCTTTAGCTTCCACTTCTGATTTCTATTTCCTTCCTTCCTTCCTTCCTTCCTTCCTTCCATCCTTCCTTCCTCCCTTCCTCTTTCCTAGCTAGTTTCATCTTTTCAGCTGATTTACTGATTTGACGAATCCCCCCAAAGACCTTTGGTTTGGGCCTGCTTGAAAAGCAGCTGCTCAGTAACGTCTTTTCATCGGAGTCCTGGCCCCTTGCTTTCCAAAGAGGGTTTTAATCTGCCTTCTGCACATCAAGGAATAAGTGACAGACAAGAGACCTTGAGGTTGGCCAACTGGTCTGGCCCAGACCCCTTCCCTCCTTCCCACCTAAAATCTAGCAATATTTTACCTTATGACCCAGCGTCCTATTCTTAATTGAATTGATTAGCTGCTGTCATGCAGGAAATACTGTTCTTCTTTAATATAGTGGGCTCAGAGCGATAATACAGAGCTTCAGGCACTTGCTTTGGACACTGTGGTCATGGGTTCAAACCCAGGCATCATATATGGTCCCCTGGGCAATGCCAGGAGTGACCCTAGAAACCAGAGCCAGGAGTAATTCCTAAGTAATGCCAGGTATGGCCTAAATACCCTTTTGTAAGAAAATTAATTTTTTTCCAATTTTTTAGAAAATACCAAGAAGAAATCCCAAAATGACTCATCAATAAATTTGGTAGCACATTATACCCAGTCATGAATTTAATAGCACAGAGTGAATAAAGCAAGACGTGAAATCCTTCTTTCTACATCTCAGTTCCTCTGTCCTGAGATTCTGTGGTTGTTGGTAGAATAAAACTTGATACACATTTCCACAAATCTATTTATGTCTTAATCAAACTGGCACAGGAAGGGAAACTTGGTACACACGGGCTCCTCGTACAAGCCTCATCTTCGGACCCTTTGGATCATGGCACAGGCATTTGCTTCACTCTTCTTTTCTCGTGCTTTTTTGTTTATTAATTTTTCAGTTTGGGGTCCACACTTGGCTGTGCTCAGAGCTCCCTCCTAGCTCTGCACAAGGAGCGGGGACAAAAATTCGTAGCCATAATACTCCCAGCTCACGAGACTGTTCTGGAAGCATGTGTTCATTCTCAGATGAAACGCTGAGGCCTTCAGAAGTCAAACTGTGAGACGAAATAAGAGTAAACGCCTAGGGGTCAAAGAGAGGGCAGCTTGACCCCCAGCACCACAGAAGCTCCCTGAGCACAGCCAGGTGTGCCCCCCTCCACCCCTGCCCCAATCTGTAAGAAAAAGAAGTCAGTACACACACATACGCTATTCTTTTGGTCTCTGTTGGCAGTAAGAAGATTTTTATCCGATAAGAACCATCGAAATCCCTCCACTGTGGCGGTCTTGCCGTGTGCACTGGGTAGGTTGGGGAGAGCCGAGCAGTTTCTCTCGGCAGACTTCTACAGAAGTGCTCTAAACTGGAGATTTCTTTCAACACAGTTAGAGTCTTTTTTTTTTTTTAACCACTTGTCACTTCCCAGCTTGTTTGAGAAACATCAAATAATATGCCAGCCTTGAACATGGTGAGATCTGGAAATCTGACACCTTCCTCAGAAAAGTGGTGAAGGGGCTGTGCTACGAGCATTTCATCCGGATCCGATGGTGCCAAGTATACTTTGAAAAAACTGAGGAAAGGGAGCTGACTAGTGTCTCTCAAACATAGCGCGAGGGGCCCTTTGACCAGTCTGTGACTATCTGGATTGTGATTTCACAGGCAAGTTCAGATGTCCTTTCCCCATATGTCCTATGTCAACGTACAAACAGCATTGTCTTGAGAAAGAGAAGGCAGGCCCAGAGATGGTAGTGCAGGGGTTAAGGCACTTGCCTCGCATGCGGCTAACCTGCTTCAGTCCCCAGCGCCGCATATGGTCCCCAGAGCACTGCCAGGGCTCACTCCTGAGCACAGGGCAGGAATAGCCCCTAAGCACTGTGTTAATTTTATAAAGTTTGTAAAAGCTTCCTCTTTGCAATGATCTTTCTACTTAAAAATCCAAGCAGCAACCACCCATCAAATTCTTCTTAAGACTGACAGAACAGGGATTTAAAATATTTCGTTTGTCACCCAACGACTTTGTCTTAAAGGCAAATAGAGGAATAGAATGTTCTTAAACAGGCATCTGCTTTGGTGCCATCATTTGTCTTCCTGACATCTGTCAGATTGCCCAAGTGAGCCAAGCACCTCATGGCCCCCCAGCCTACAACATACCAAGTGTATTTTATGTGCTTTTCATCCATTTGCTTAAGTGCTCTGGCAAAAACCCTGGTATTTGGCAGTGATAGGACTGGGGTTTGGAAAATGAACACATGGCACTTCTGAGTTGTACCTTAGACTTGACTCAGCAGTTAAGGAAAGGGCTAAGCACTGTGTCTCGTGATGTCTTAAAGGGTTGCTCCCTTCAACTGGAAATCCCATCCCAACCCCCAGGTCACACCTCATCTCCACTCAAGCTCCTCCTTGTTCTGGAGCAGTGGTTCTGGGCACATGTCCTGAGCATGGCAGCAGCCCTTTGGGGTATGCCAGGCCATCACAGTCCTCTCATCCTCCTTAAGGTCCAGCTGATACCACCCGTCTCCCTGATCCCTCCTGCCAACCTTGTCCCCTGCCTCTTCTGTTCCTGTTGTACCACCAGGCCAGGAGGCCTGTCCTGCGGTCATTCCCTGCTGTGGCCCTGTGGCATCCAAGACCACATACCCTCTCACCCAGTGCCTGGTGGCAGCAGGCCTTACAGAAACCTCTGTTGACTGGAATGGAGGTATTAGGACAAGCCGGGCTTGGGAAAGCTCATTGGTTTTAGGGGAGGCCTTTTTTATGAATATCCTTGAGGTAGAGTTTACATTGGCATTTCTTATGTCTTTATCTCTTTTATTATCTGATAGACCTTCCTTCTCTTCTTGGTCTGGAACATATTTGGTGATACAGTGCCAAACGTTTGGCATGAGGAACATGATAGAAGGTTTAATGAGAAACCTTTGGCTAAAAAGGAAGTTTGTGAATTTTCTACAGATTTCATTTGTATGGTTTTCTTTATTAGGGATTAACTGAGAAATAATATAGAAGTTTTCTACCCCAAAGTGTGAAAAATTGAACTGTAACAATTGTACCACTGACTGAATTGCTGGTTACCTGTGTGTTCTGCATGGGAAGAAGGCCAGTACTGTAGGAACCGGTTTAGATCACGAATAACATCTGCACAATGCTCAGCCTTGGGTGGCCAAGCAGAAAGTTTCCCTGACAACACTTAAAGCTCAGAACTGCTTCCCAAGAACTTTGAAAAGAGAGACAGACAGAAAGAAAAGTATGCATCCAGTAGACCTCTCACTATTCAAATTTCTTGTTTTGGGAGACATGGTGATGATCTAGCCAAACTCTGTCCATTTCAATGGAGCGGTTCAATGAAGACACAGTTGATTCTTTTGATGATGTTTGAAAGGTTGTTTGTTTGTTTTTTCTCATTTGACATGCAGCAAGGACATATGGGCGCAGGAGAGGTAACACTATTGTTTCTAACTTTTGAATGTCTCCCTTGTATTTGGAGCGGAACTGCGTGTTCAGTAGCCTCGGCTGTGGGTAGCGGGGTGGGGGAAGGAAACCGTCTCTCCCGTCCCTACCTTGTGTTCGAGTCAACTGTAGGAACTCCACACCCTTGAGTTCTGGAGACATTTGCAGAGTTGGATTTGAATTCAAAGAATTTTCCTCTTGAAGACTGACTTCCCTCTCCCCTCAGTCTTCCCCCTTTCTGAAAGGAATCGCTTCAGAGAAACAAATTTTTTTTAAATCCTTAAAAAAAGAAAACAGAATCTGACTGATCTATAAGCACCTGATTATACTGGAGATTCAATTTTACCTGGATATCATATGTCTATTTTTTTGTGGGGCTGAGGAAGCCACACCTATAGAGCAGTGCTTGGAGGGGCCGTGCAGGGCCAGGGATTAAACCCAGGGCCTCGCACATGCAAGGCACATTCTCTGCCACGGGAAACACATTTAGTACAATTGGGTTTTCAATGAAAGCGACTAAAGAAATGACTGCTCAGAAATTAGAGAATTTTCAAGACTCATTTTACTGACATGCCTGGAATATCTTATTTTTATTGCCTAGAATTTTTTTCTTTCTGTAAGGTCGTTTCTTACTTTTAAAACATAGGTGATCTTTAAAGACCGTGCAGGAACTTACCTCCAGTTTTATAGTGTGTATGTCACCCCCTCCTGCCCTCTTCCCCCTGCCCCATTATGTAATTCTTCAGAGCTGTGATATTCTGGGAGAAATTCCGAACTGATCAGTTCAGCTAGAGATTCTCCGCTCGCCAAAGTTTCATAAGGAGAGTGGAAAGGAGGCCAACAGGACTGTATGAGTCCAGTCAGCTCCTGGGTCACAGTTGAGGGAGAACCCTCACAATCCCCCTATGTGGAATGTTCTAGAAGCAGCTTGAAAAGTGACAAACCAGGGCCCTGGGAGATTGTGCAGTGGCTTGTGACTCTGTGTTCTTCTGATTTAAACCTGCCTGTTTTGCACCAGGGGGTTCTGGGGAGACTCTGCACCACCTGGCCCCGCAGTCTCCCTGCGTATTCTCACAGGGGTAGTGCTCCGGCTGCAACCCCACAGGCCCGTGGTGGGATCAGATCGGGCCAGCACAGCTGCGAGAGGCGCAGCTCCGAGGCAGTCCAGCATGCCTTTGACAGAAAAACAGAACCAGTTCACTGTCACGTTGGCTGCCAGCCTTCAGTGGATTTTGAGGCTCATTTTAGGGAAATGACAGTGAGGGCCGGCACCTTTGCACATGCACATGGACTTGGGAGGCATCCGCAAGTCTTGGAGGAGAATCTTGCAGGCCGTCTTTGGGGGAAAATTGGGTGATTCAAGGGACATGGCATCTAATCACCGAGTGCAATGCTGAGCATTCGCGCTGGGGCTCTGCCGCGGCCACCAGCCGCCAGTTTGCTCTCCTGCCACCGCGCTAAAGTTTCAGGTTCCCACTGGGGATCTCTCGTAACCGTGGCCTTTTCACTTCAACCCTACTGGGACTCTGGGGCAATGGGAATCCGATGCACAACTGAGGATCTTATTGGCACTGAGTGAAAAAAGGAAGAGTAGCGGCGTTGATGCGGCTGCCCTTGTGTCTTGTGAGAGACGCTCAGGCGCCCGGCACATTTCCTGTTAGCGTGTGTCCCTGCTTTCTGTTCCAGGTCAGTCATCCCTGTTCCCAATGGAAGATGGATTCTTGGACGACGGCCGTGGGGATCAACCGCTTCACAGTGGCTTGGGGTCACCTCACTGCTTCACTCACCAGAACGGAGAAAGAGTGGAGCGCTATTCCCGCAAGGTGTTTGTGGGTGGCTTACCTCCCGACATCGATGAAGGTAGGTCAGAAGGAGCCGCCCGCTCCACAGCGGCACCCGGCAGCGGCCTCGGTGCTCAGAGGTTTTCCACTCCAGCCTTTCCCTGGCGATCCCTGCGCCCGTTCTGCCCTCCTGCCAGGTCGGATCAGGTCCCAGCAGGAACTGGGGAGCAGAACTTTTAAGAGCTGGAAGGGAAATGAAAGAGGGAAGGGCACTGGGGGAAATGTACCAAATCTTCCGTTCTGGCTGGAGCGGGGGTGAACTGGGTTTGGTCTGGGCCTGAGCCCGGTTTGGTTTTTTCCCCACCACTTTGTTTGAGTGTCTCTAAATGGCTGTTGTTCATGGTTAGAATGTCCAAAGTCTCTGAATGAGAACTTGGGAGTTAGGTCACTTGGTGGTATGTTTTTGCTCTCCACTGTTGACATGCTTTCTCAAAGCCAGGCAGTCCAGTCCGCTTGTTTATAATCGTAGCCAAGAGAGAAAGTCCCTGCTTACAAAGTATGTGTGTGTTTGTGCATGTGGCAGGGAGGCAGATTGAAAACTGCCAATGTACAAGCAACGCAGTGCAGAGCGAGTATGGCTCAGAGAGTTGCAGCAGGCCCCAACTGAGCAGTGGGGAGTCTGAGATTAGTGCGGCAGGAAGATCATCATGGTGGAAGTGGCATTTGCACGAGAACCGAATAATGAGCCAGTCGTGCAAAAGCCGAGGGGCTTGTCAGCCTCCCTTCATCTGCGAGTCTAACTGACCCTCATAAGAGCAAACAAGCAAGCAAGCAAGCAAGCAAACAAACAAAAACGCAAAGGAATGGACCGTGGACAGCTGTTTACCCCGGTTTCTTTTGTTCCTTTCTTCTGTCTCGGGGTTTCTCCACGGAAATGAAGACACTGCCATTCGTGGGACAGCGGGAAAAAAAATCTCTGGTGATAAGGTTTCATCATTTCATATGGGCACAGGGATCTCCAGGCATTCTTCTTTCAATCTGTCCTTTGGAAGATCAAGATCAAAGTGGTTCAAAAGAGCAACTAAACACAGGCTGGGTGGGTGGGTTGGGCAAAGGTCCAAGGGAGGCCCTCGGAAATTTCGGACAGGCTAAGTCAGTTCCGGGCCGCACTAGCCTTTGGTCTCAGGTATGAAGCTCTCTCACCTTTGGCCCTGCTCTTCATTCGCCTTAGAATCGTAGGATCAGGGCTTCTTTCATCAATGCTTTTGTACAGCCAGAGGGTCTCGCTCTTATCCTGAAATAGAGGGCCACGGACTCACTTGATGAAAGAAGTGATGAAAATGGGGTGGGACTAATGGCATTTGTGAGTGTGATTTGGCCTTACCTCTCAGAGCAAAACTGGAAGCTCAGTCAGTAGCATTGAGGGGGACAGGCCTCCCATTCCAACAGATTTCTGAGGAATAGTGGGAGCTGCAGAATGGGGCTCTGAAAGTGGTGGAAATGATGGGGCAGATCAAGCCAGGAGTGGATCATTTCCTGCCTACTGAAAATCCGTGCTGGAATTGCTAACCCAAAGAGACCCAGTAAGTTGGTGAGAACTTTGGAGAGTCCAGGCAACTGTCGGCCTGAAGCCTCAGCACTGCTGATGGCTACCTCACTGCCCCTGTCCCTCAGCTCCATGTGCCTACCTCCTGGGTCTAGATGTTCCTCGGGGCATTTATTTTCCTGTCGTGGCTCCCCAGTGTCCAAAGAGATAACTGGCATCCTTTGAATGTGTGATAAGATATGATCAAGTCTCTCTCCCTACCTCTACGGCCTATGTTCTTGCCCGCACAGGCCCAGAGAGACTCTCCGGATAGGTAGATGGGAGGAAGGATGTACGGGCACCTGGATGGTTTAATGGGCCAGTGGGCAGATTATTCATGCGTATAAACTGATGGAAGGAGGAGAGAAAGAGAGAAGGATAAAAGGGAAGGCAAATGTGGGAAGTATTCAGTGGAAAATCTAATTCTTCATGTAATTCTAATAGTTCTAATTGCGTTTTTAAATTTCATTCCCCAAAAGATCATAGAAGTATTAAAATCTCCCTCCACCTTTTTTTGTTTTGTTTTGTTCTTTAGATGAGATCACAGCTAGCTTTCGTCGCTTTGGCCCTTTGATAGTGGATTGGCCCCATAAAGCAGAGAGCAAATCCTACTTCCCTCCTAAAGGTAATTCTCCCTACGATCCAGCACATGGGGCCCATGGCACCCTTCCTTCATTTCATGTCCCGCCTTCATGTGAACATTTGCCCTGGCTGCAAGATTTTCTGTCCCAAATGTATCTTCCCGTGTGCATCTTTAAACTGTCTACCCCCCCCCCCAACCCCATCATTTCCATTCAGACTGGAATTTCACTCCACCCCCAGCCTGAATTGCTCTCCCAGTCTGATCACTCTGAGCAGGAGCATTATCTAATTAAAAGAGAACCCCCTGCACACACCCCCTCCCCCGGTTTCTTTTTCCAGGCTACGCATTCCTGCTATTTCAAGATGAAAGTTCCGTCCAGGCTCTGATCGATGCGTGCATTGAGGAAGATGGCAAACTCTACCTGTGTGTGTCCAGCCCCACCATCAAAGATAAGCCTGTAAGTGTGCTGTGGCTGCCAGCGTTTCAGTCTGGTCCCCATTTGAAACCGAGACCTGTTGGTGTGGCTCGTAAGTGCCTTATTTGTAGGTAGAAAGAGGCAGTTAGCTTCAGCGTCGTGTTCCGGTTCCTCTTGTGGTTATTCACTGTGTTTGTGCACAATTATTCTGGCACTGAATTTGGTTTGAAGGCCACGACCGGCAGTGCTCAGTGCTTCCTTGTGGCTCAGGGGTCATTTCTGGCAGGGCTCGGGGGACCCTATACCGTCTAGTAATCAAACTGAGGTCGGCCATATGCCAGGGATCATGTGGGGATACCTGGAGGGATGGGGGTGGCACTCTCAGGGGGCTCAGCTCTGATCACAACCGGGTGTGACTCAAACACAAAAGCAAATAAATACTCCCCATCTCCCAATTTTAATTCAGGGCTGGAGTAATGGAACAGGAGGGAAGCACTTGCCCTGCATGAGGCTGGTGACTCTGGATTAATCCCTAGCACCACTTACCATCCCCCAAGCACTGCCAGGGTGAGCACCACCAGGTGTGGCCTCAAAACAAGAACAAGAACAAGTAAACTGTAGGTCTCGTCGGTTAAGGGATACATTCCATGATTTGGCACTTCCTGGCAATGCAATGGAACTTCCCACTTGGTCCAGTTTCCTCTAAATGAAATGATGACTTGGGATCCACTATGCTAAAGTCTTTCCTAGTTTTATAGTGTTGTTGCTTTGGAATGATGGGGGTGATGGCTTGGAGAACTGCAGTATGGTCCCTTAAAAGTGCCTTTTCTGTCTGCGCCCACGTAGGTGCAGATTCGGCCGTGGAACCTGAGCGACAGTGATTTTGTGATGGACGGTTCCCAGCCTCTTGACCCCCGGAAAACTATATTTGTTGGCGGTGTGCCTCGACCCTTGCGAGCTGGTATGACCAAGCAACCCCAAATTCCTTTTTGTCCTGGACTAGAAAAAATGTCTTATAAAGGGTTTTCTGGGTGAAATGTGGGGAGCTGATGTCCGAGGGTGAGACTTCTCAGATGGAAATGTGTGGGCTTGAATTCCCACGATCAGTTCCCATTCACTGCAGACAGCAGTATTGTCCGGTTAGGTGCTTCTCATGTGCCCAGTGGAGGAGTGAGTTAGCTCGAGCGGTTTGGAGGGCCAAGGAAATAACCAACGCAGAGCTTTAGGTAACAGCCGTCACCTGCTCAGCTTCCCTTCCTAAGGGAAGGCTTCGGGTTTCATTCTTGCGTCCTCATATGCTCCCCAGAGTATCCCCTACAATGCAGTCAGACCCCCCTCCCCACCAGGGCCTCTAGATTAGAGCGGTACTTAGAGAAGAAATTGCATCCCCCACTTTAAGTAATCTGAGCCTGAGAATACAAGTGAGTTAAAGAACAGAAAGTGAACAAGCATGCCATTGGGCGCATACTCTGGAGAAGACCGTCCATTCATTACTTGGTGTTTTTATCTGGAAAACTGGTGAATAGCCAGACTCTGGGGAGACCTAACAGCTTTGCATGGTGACAGGCCAGAGGATGCCCACAGAGCCTGCCAGTCCATTGACGAGTGTAGTCACAGTATCATTTCATAGGATGCAGTGCGTTGCTAGTGGGTAACTATGGTCAGAACATGACTCTGGAGCAGAAGCACCAGAGTTCCCCTCAGGACGGTCCCTTCATCTCTCACCTCAGGCCGAGTGAACTGCTTTACCACATCTCAGTTCACCCAGGAAATTGCTCCAGGAAAAGACCTCCAGTCTTCTTCCTATATAAAGCTTCAAAGGGAACATTTGGGGACTGAGAAGATTTTCCAGGGATCAAGGCACTTATCTTGCATGCAGCCAACCCCAATTGAATCCCTGGCATCCCATGTAGTTCCCCCAAGCACCACCAGGGGTCACTCCTGAGCACAGAGCCAGAAATAGCCACTGAGCACTGTGGAGTATAGCCCAAAACCCCAAAGAAATATAAGAAAAATTTAAAGCTCAGAATTTATTCCTTCCCAACTGATGAGTCTCTTCTCCATCCCCTTCTACTTTCCAGTAAGCCTTTCTACTTCCAAAAACAAAAGCAAAAAAAGAAAACTCTAAAGATCACCGAGAACATACATAAACACTCAGCAGCACCCATGCCTATCACTAATAAAAGATTAGAAATAAACCCAGCAGACACCTGACTGCAAGAGGTTTGCCTTTTAATTACATCGACAGTGACATAGTCCCAAGCCCCAGATGAACTCCATTTTCACGAGGCCCTTGGTGGGCCCAAAGGAATAATTCTGACTCCGGCGGCCTACTTGTCCCTTCCCCCTTTCAGTGGAGCTGGCCATGATAATGGATCGGCTGTACGGAGGCGTGTGCTATGCTGGGATCGACACCGACCCCGAGCTCAAGTACCCGAAAGGAGCCGGGCGAGTTGCCTTCTCGAACCAACAGAGCTACATAGCTGCTATCAGCGCCCGCTTTGTCCAGCTGCAGCATGGAGAGATAGATAAACGGGTAAGTCCTGGACGTCATTCTGGAACATTCTGGAACGGCCCTTCCAAGTTTGTCGTTGGCAAGACTGAAATGGGGGCGATTTTATAGACAGTCAGCCGACAGTTTGGCCTGTAGGACCAATAAAACACATGGTCTCTCAGCCATCTTGGGTCTGCTGTCCCGGATTGAGTATCTCACTAGAACACTTCACTGTACTTAAGCCGATTTGATCTGCCCTCAGCTGTCACCTCTCTCCATTCATTTAGTTACTCTTCCCCACATCCAGTGGCACAGCAGACATGCAGACACGGAGCCCCTGAGTGTTTCTGACCCTTTGTTCTCCTCCTCCCGGAACGTCCTGAATTCCTCAGCTATCCCCATTTTCAGTCCCCTAGGTAACAGATGAGTGAGTCAGTTCACTTGAAGGGGTGCAAATCTTAGACACGTTTCACTCTTCATCAGTAAGAGAAATCTAGTATGCTCTATTCTAAGGCTAGAGAAGACCCGCCTCAGGGCTTTTGCCTGGTTGACACTCACGACTTTGTTCCAGTGGTATTAGCAGTATAGTTGAGGAAGGTCAGGTTTGATTAGCAGAGGATGGGGGCAAGATCATTGGCAGGGACGGTCTCATGCCACCTTGATGTGTGATTAGCACCCAAGAGTGTCTGTAGGCTGGTTTCCCAGGCCTCTTCACGCATGTACTTCAGTTGGCAATTTCGCATTTGATATTCAGGTTTCATGGGGCCAGAGAGATAGTACAGTGGTTAGGGTTCTTGCCTCGTACACAGCCGATCCAGGTTCAGTCCCTGGCACCCTGTAGGGTTTCCTGAGCCCTGCTAGGAGTGATCCCTGAGTGCAGAGCCAGGAGCACGCAAAAGCACTCGGAAGGCTGGTGCTGTGGTGCAGCCTGCTCTTCCTGTCCCCTTGAGTCCCGTCCCCTTGTTCTCAGCTAACGTAGCTCAGGGCCACTTGTAAAAATGTGCAGCTCTTCTACCTGGTGAATTCACTGGTTGTTTGGAATGTTCCAGAGCTCCTGTGGCAGGTTGGTCTGTGGGACTCAGGACTGGGACCTGTGGTTGCAAATTCACCTCGGACTCTGACTCCAGCAGACACAAAGCCCATGTTGAGAGTGGGACTCCAACAGCCTCCCCCTGCCCATTAGCACCCCAGATGTGCGCAGTACCATGGAAACCAGGAGTATTCTCCCTCTGCCCGAAGACCCTCTTCAGCTCTTCATTTTGTGTAAATTCTGATTCCACTGAGGACTAAAATCCAGCCTCAGCTGTTCAGATGGGGGTCAGGTTTCGGAAAACCCTCTTGGGGGCCGGGGGTGCTTCATCTCAGAATATTCTAGGTTAAACCATGGGCTTATCACCTGGTCCCACTTCCAGAGGAATCCTTTTGCCCTTTGAAACAGGCTTTACAAAACAAAAATAAAAAGGGGGTGGGCTGGGGAAGGAGGGGTGGGAACATGTAGCAAGTTCTTCAAAGAGGGATTGTCTTTCTGTCAGTCCAAGAATTACTGCCTCGGACTGGAAAAGTAGGTAAGGAACTTGCCTTGCATGTGGCCACCCCAGATCCAACTCCTGGCACCTGGTAGGGCCCCCTAACACTGCTGGGTGTGGCCCCCCTTCTCTTCCCTGGAGCAGATGCATCCCCCCTTTGAGTTGACCCCCCCACCCCCCCCCACCCCCCGTGGAGAGGAAATGGATTCTTCACAGAGAAGTCAAGTCCCTTCTCTTCTCTTGCGCTTTTAGGTGGAAGTTAAGCCATATGTCCTGGACGACCAGCTGTGTGATGAGTGTCAGGGGGCCCGCTGCGGAGGGAAGTTCGCTCCGTTTTTCTGTGCTAATGTCACCTGCCTCCAGTATTACTGCGAATATTGCTGGGCCGCCATTCATTCGCGGGCAGGCAGGGAGTTTCACAAGCCCCTGGTGAAGGAAGGAGGCGACCGTCCTCGGCATATTTCCTTCCGCTGGAACTAACCGAAGGAGAACCGTAGCGCTCCTTTTCAGGCCTCCCCGATCGGCGCCCTCTTCTGTTCATGCTCACCCTCCTTCCTCGCCCGCGCCAATGCTGGCATGCCCTCTCGGTAACTGTTCGTGACTTACCAATAGTATAATGCAACGAATGGCCTATAATAGAGGTGTTTGTAGATTCTCACGTCCCCGAAACCAATAGGTAGGAACTCCCTTTCCACAGGGCCGTCATGTTGCACCGAAGTTGGTTTCTCTGGTTTTGCTGGAGACTAAGAGGAACCCAACTTCCAGCAACAGTTTTGCAGAGGAGAGACAGAGAGAGAGAACTATTAAAAAAGAAATGAGACGATAGAGTATTTTGGGTTTTTTAATTAAATTATTGTTAATAATATAACATAGAAGAATACTTTTATTAAAATAGCCTTGCACCAAGAACACTATCATCTATCCTGACAACCCCTCCCTCCCAAGGAACTGCTTTTGCTTTTTTTCCCTTCTTTTCTGTTCCTTCATCATCTTTCTGGCCTCTCTCTTAGCCCCCCACCCCCCTGTATTCTTTTCACGGCAGTGGAGGAAGTTAACAATTATTAACAGGAAAGCGCATATTAAAGCCAACACAAATGCATGAGCCAGACTGAAGCAACATTCTAAGGACTCTGAGGGGTTTTTTTTGAGGCTGAATAGTGTTCCTTCTAGCCTCCAAGTTACCTCCGAAAAGGAAAGACTAAATAGGAACATAAGCAGAGCTGGGTTTATTTTCTCTTTAAACCATGTTGGAAATGTAGAATGTAAAAAAATAAAATAAAGAGGGGGGTGAATTTACTACTGAATGGGGGGGACAGTTACTGTAGTATACTGATTCCTATTGAAACTTACTCATTGGGCCGTAGCCCCAAGAAAACCTACCAAAGCTAGAATTCACGCCAGCTGGTGGGAAAACAAGCATTTCCTCTCCCGAAGAACAAATGCAGAGATTTTTATTTTCGGTGTGCTCTAGGAACTCTGTAGCCGAACTTACTTAATAACACTCATCCTCTGACAGCCTTTGCTCTCCATTTTGACGTTATAAAGGAAAAGAAAACCGAGCTAGAGATACCTCAAAGATAAATCACTTTCGATTTTGTTCGCAAAAAAGAAAAAAAAAGAGACAAAAACAAAGAAAGAAATAAACAAACAAACAAACAAAAAACCCCATCACCAACGAAAAAATCCGAGCTACCAATTGGCTGCTGATTGGCTTACTTTTTTCTGATTTCCAGTCACTTTGGGGAATCCTGTAATTTAGTTGTAACATAGCAAATGAAAAAAAAAAAGCTTAAAAAAAAGTTAAGTAGTTGCAAAGTGTTTTGCACCGTTGATCTAAGTAACTGTGTAAATCTGTGCAAAGGTACGTATGTTTATCTTACTCTTCCTATAAAATAAAAGAACATTACAGTTTCAGAACTTAGCATGGGACATAGACAGTGTTTGAAGTGCCAACTTCACCAAGTAATGCATGCTTTATTATAAATAAAATTCTAGCTTGGAAAGGCGTTATTATGTGTTGAACAGTATGCTTCAGGGGTGAATTTAAAAATAGTCTCTTGAAGCCCGGTAATGGAAAATAACCATTCTTTTCGTTGACATTCTCTTACTCAAATGCCCTATCCACCAGGAAAAGGATTATTAGCGGTGTGCAAAACGTCACAAAAAAAAAATCCACACACACACAACAAAGAAAACTCCAGTGGCACTCTTGCTAGGTGTACCACCTACCCGTACCATCTGGGAGCCCTGCAAGCCAAAGATGCCCCAGCACCACTAGGAACCACCCGGCCAACACCCTCCCCCAGCTGATCTCGCTCTTGGCAGAGCGGGCCTTTCCCGAACTCCGTCCCGGTTCCGTTCCATTCCAAAGGTCAAAATGGAGACATCTGCTGTCGAACCATCCAGCCTAGCAAGGGAGCTGCTTTTCTTTTTTCTTTTCTGTGAATCGCTGCAAATCCTGAAAGTTCGTCCTAGGGGGCTGGGCAGCGGGGAGGGGCGCAGTTTGCTCTGTGTAGCTGGTCAGGAATTTCTTTCTTCTCTCCTGCTGAGTTCCGTCCTTCTCACTGGAGTGCTCATTTGCCTCTTTCTTATTCTTTGCAATGCTTGTAGGTGGCTTGGGGTATGCTATTGTGCTGGGCCTACGCAGTGAACAGGTGTGTGGAGTTAACCAGAAATAACACTGAGAACTAGCTTTGAATAATCATTTCTCCCTTTGTACATGACCTGCTGAATTTCGGTACAGTGTTTTTGTAGCTAACTTATTTTGTCATGCACATAATGTATATTTGTTATGCACTACTTTTGTATATCTTGTTTTTCCAACAGTGAACATTTTTAGGCACACTTTTCACTGACGGGATATCTCTTTATGCAATACCTCAATTTTTCATATTGCAAAGAGTAGCTTTTTGTACTTTTATTACTGAGAGATCTTCATATACTTCATTTTTTAATATAAATAATTTTAATAAATTTTATTTTCTTATATTCTGCTTTTTATACATTTCAGTGCTCTGCGTACATTTTAAATTCTGGATGCCGTGCACTGCCAATGCTATTTTAGAATCTGCAGAGAAGAGAAAGCATGTTGCTTCAAACATTCTTCCCCAGCACCACTCTCGGTGTCCCTAGCATTTAAAAAAATAGTCTTATGTGAAGTCACAAATTAATGAGGAAAAACAGATTCGCATGAAAATGACAGGCAACACTGTACTTCCTAAAACAAACGAATGAAAACAAAACACACACACACAAAAGAAAACCAAGGGAAAAAAATGAAATGCATAATAAGCCTAGGGTAGAAATTTAAAAGAACAAAATTGTCTACAGCTTCTTACTAGGTTTTTAAAATGATTCATAATGCAGACATTTTTGGTGAATGTTTAGCCATTTTTAATATTAATAAATTGATGTTAAGTGTTTGATTCCGAGATGTCTGCCCTTTTAAATTATATAGAAAGAAAAAAAATAGCCTGCCGTGGGACAGGTGTGTGATGTTAGTATGCATGACTAATGTAAGAATTGTTATTCTCCTAATATTTACTCGTGATTGTGTGGCAAGCGTGTTTACAGATTCTTTGATTACACTTCAATTTACAGGGCATAAACAATTATTATCTATTACTCTGAACTTTGATTGATTACATGTCCTTCAGATTACATGGGATCGTCATTGGAAGTTACCATGTAACTCCCAACACAATCAACATGTAATTCGTTTACAGATTTTAGGGTATCACTTCAATTCCCCAAGCATGTGGTTCGAGCACACTAGCATGGCACTAGCCATGTACTTACAATGTAGTTACAGAGTAATTACATGGTTATTTTTGCAATGTAAAATAAAGTGTTTCTGATTATTTTCTATGTAAAAGAGCCCTTTCCTCTTCCTCCCTTCTGCCCCCCTTCACCCGACCCCCCCGCCCGCTTTGGTATAATATATATACTTCTCCATACACAGAGCTCTGCAGAATGCAAAATAAAACTTGCAGTGAATGAATTTCGCATTTTATGAGAGTGCTGTTGGAAAGACTTGATTGATAATTCACCCCTTTTGTTTCGAAGAGTTGAATCTTCTGTTCAAAGGTGATTTAAAACTTGAATGTGATGAATTGTGGCGAGTTAACTTCAAGTTATGTGCAATACTTATTTCAAACTTTTGAAAGATCTTTGCAGTGTGATTCTTTGTTTTTAATTGCAGACATTTAAAAAATGTCATTTTCTACTGTTAAGAGTAATCCTCTTTCTTGTTGGTGTTTCTAAAGAAAAGAATCAGAAATCAATCTTTCTACTAATGTAAATTTGAGATTATTTTTAAAAATGGAATAAAAGAGGTTTTGGTCATTTGCTTTATTTTATTATCTTATTTTAAAGCTACTGTGATTGATAGCATTGTAAGAATTGGGACAATATTGTATTCAACTGTTTTATTTTTTATATTTTTAAAATTTAAAGTATAATTAGTTTTTATAATTTTCATCAGATTTTTGTTATATTTTTTGGAAGTGAAACTTTTAGCCAGTGGGTGTCTAGTTTTTACTAATCCCTAATGTTTTATTTTCCCCCCCAGTGTATTGCTCATATTATCAGAAGGAAAAGTTATTTAAGTTTGTCAGTTAATTGTACTACTTGGCTGAATTTCCATATAGTTTTTACTGTGTATGGGGAGGTTGTAGTATTTATTATAGCATTTTAAATAAGGGTAATTCATTTTTTATTAAAGTCATTTTCACCTTAAGTTCCTATTTTTGTATGTTCTACTCTTAAGTTATATAACACAGTTCCTTTTTTAAAAGAGTTCATTTGTTGAAGTGCTAGTGGAAAATTAATGTTATTAAATAGTTTGCAAATGACTATTTATACCAGTATGCATATAATTTTTAAATATTTGTAATGTGAGATGTTGAATGAATAAAACTTTTAACTCCGCTCTCTCTTAATGGACTCATTTCTCGTCCCCCTAAGTTGATTTCCACCATGGCGAATGTGGCATGTCACAAATATTAGGGCCCAGAGAGATCGTGTGGGATAGTAAGGCATTTACCTTACATGCAGCCAACCTGGGTTCGATCCCTGGCCCCACAGACAGCCTCCCAAACACCAGCAGGAGTAAGCCCTGAGCATTGCCAGGTGTGGCTCAAAAACCGGACAGAGCTGGGTGTGACAGCGGGAGAGCGCTTGCCTCGCTCACAGCCAACCCAGATTTGATCTCCGCCGCCCCGTATGGTCCCTCAGGCACCTCCAGGAATAATTCCAGAGTGCAGGGCCAGTTGGAATCCCTGACCACAGCCAGGTGTCACCCCAAAACTAAAAAACAAACACCAGACAAAATGAAGACCACAGCAGAGTCGATTGGGCCCAGGCTCTGGGGGCTGAGGCAGGGAGTGGGGGATGCTGCCTGCGAAGCACTGTCCAGCTTTCTTAGAATTCCTATCATTTCCGTTCTTCAAGAACACGCCTTTGCATCCCCGTCCAAGCACCCCCTCCCCCCGATGCTCTGAGAATAGGAACACAAGCTTCGATTCAACGCGAAGAATTTAGAAAATGATTATTTGGGGCCCACTAGAAGCTCTTATCAAGCAGCCCCGTGCAGGGGCTCTTCTCAGAGGACATTCTGTTTGGGCAGGCGCGCCTGAGTCTTGGGGAGCTATTTTTAAGTTTGTATCTCTTCTCCACTTGAATGGAGTGTCAGTGTGGGCTGGCGGGGGACAGTGCCTTCTTGTGATTCAGTGCAGGTAGCTGCAGTGAATACGGCCCAGTTTGTCTCGAGGAAGTGAAAAATGAACAGCAGCGCCTAAAAGCCAGGCGTGCTCAAGCCACCAGCATAATCTGATGAAGTGTCCATGAAAAACTGCCTTTGGCTACGTGGTGGGAGGGGGGAGCCAGCGCACAAACAAATGCCAAGAGCTAAGCCGGCAGCAGTGCTGGCTTTATCCTGCTCCGTGGAGTTCTATTTCAGTACGCAGGGCCTTGACACCCTGGAAATGTCACTGTGATCAAGCAAATGTCACCCTTTCAAAGATTTTATTTCCCCACCCTTCTCTCACCCCCATCCAGTTCCAGTGAAAAGAAGAAAAGATCCCAACATGCCGAGGGGTGACCCTCCCATCACCCACTAAAGGTAACAGAACACTGAAACTTGTTCTGAAGTCAGAGCGACAGGGAGAGAGGATGATGCTGAGGAGCAGTGAAGCTTCACAGAAAGTCTTAGGGGCCGGGGACCAACAGACACCCAAGACACATTGTCAGTCAAGCATCATCACATGAGTGCGCCATGAAAGGATATCCAGCTGGGGCCGGAGCGATAGTACAGTGGGGAGGGCATTTGCCTTGCACGCGGCCGGCCCGGGTTCAATCCGCAGTATCCCATATGGTGCCCCAAGCATCGCCAGGAGTAATTCCTGAGTACAGAGCCAGGAGTAACCCCTGAACATCGCTGGGTGTGAACCAAAAAACAAAACAAAATAAGGATATCTAGCTGGAAGGGTGGACTGAGGAAGGAAGGAGGGGAAGAAAGAAAAGGAGAGGAAGGAAGGAGGAAGGGAGGGAGGGAGGGAGGAGGGAGGATAGGTGGCTGGAATGAGTGGCTAAGTGGATGGAACTGAGTGGGTGCATGGTTGGATGGAATGATGAGTGGGTGGATGAGTGAACTGATAGATTCATCTGAGACTAAAGCAAAACCTCACCAAGGAGACGGGAGGTTAATTGAGCAACACATTTGCTATAGAATTCAAACCTCTTCTCATGCCCCTCATCTAAGACACTGCACCATCTCTTTTGATCTTACAAAAATAGTTCTGAAATCCAAGGAGTGTGGGGAGAAGCTTGCTACCTGGTACATCTGTGAATTTTAAAACAGTACTTGAATATTTTTGCTTCTGGCTGAGATGTCAGCATTAAAAGGGATTTCTGCAAGAAATTTATATGCTTAGTTCTGCGTGTGCCTATGTGAGCACACTTGCATATGTGTATATTTTTGGGGAGAAATAGAAGATGCATTTGCCATTTTTAGAGCAACATAGCTGTGCAGTGCTCAGCTTCAATTGTTGCAGCAGTCTGAACAGCTGTTCCGAACAGATGTGATGCTTCGGCGCCTGCAAGCACCCACTTAGAATGCTTGCACATGCTTTTGCAGCAACAGCTCCTTCTGAGGGAGACATTAAGGCCATAGTCATAGGACCATCATCAGCAATTTCCTTTTTTCCTTGCTAGCAGAAGTGTTCGAAGCTGACAAAGACCAACTCATACATTCTAAAATGGGAAGGATGCCACTGGGTGCTCAAATTGTCCCTGAGGGTATCCTCAAACCCAGAACAGTCCTTTCCAGGGGAGCTCAGAGGCAGGAAGGGGATTCGGAGCGAGAGGGAATAGGAAGGAAGGACAGGACAGGACAGAGAAGGGAAATGATTCATCAAAGGCAGGTTGGTGTCAAGAGGCCAGTTACACCTTTCTCACACACATCCCAGCTCCCTGGCTCCCACTTATTCATTCTGGGGGCGCTTGGAAGCAATGCTTGGTGCTGGGGATGGAACCCAGGGCTCATTCACGCAAAGCTGCACCCCAGAACTTGGAGCTCTCTCAGAGCCTTTTTGATGTTCTAAGGCTCTTCCTCTTTAAGGAACAAAGCAGCAGAAGGAAAGGCCTGGGGGGCTGGGAGAGCTGGAAACTAGACAGGGCTTTGACTGCCTCTGAGGAAAAGAGGCTTCCAGTTCCCCCTTTAGCTCTGGGGGAGCACCCTCACCTTTCCAGCTCTCCACTGAGGGCCAGTGTCCCGCCTTTATCAGGGGGGTCCACCCTTCAGCGGTACTCAAGGTCCCTTCTGGTGGCGTTGGGGATCCAAGCCAGGGCTGAGCAGTGCCCAGCCCACTGAAACGTCACCCGGTGCCTTGTGCACGGCCTCCCTCTTCTCACCTCGAATTTTCCTTCGAATTAAGTGTCCTTCAATAAAATCATTCTACTTAAAATTAAGATTTCCGGGACTGGAGCGAAAGCACGCGGCCAACCCGGGTTCGATTCCCAGCATCCCATATGGTCCCCCCGCCCCCAAGCACCGCCAGGAGTAATTCCTGAGTGCAGAGCCAGGTGCAATGCTGGGTGTGATCCAAAAAGCAAAAAAAGGAAAAAAAATTAAGATTTCCCCTCTTCTGCTTAAATTAAAAAAAAAAAAAAACCCTGCCTGACGTTAAGGTCCCGATGACCTGGCGGCGGCGGGGCCGGGGGCTGCAGGCGGGGGCCAGCGGGAAGGCGGCTCATCCGGGGGCCGCGACTGCCACCTGCCGGCCGCCGGCGCCCGCGCAGCTCGCTCGCTCCGGCCGCGCGCCGCGGGGTTCCGCGGGGACCGAGGGCCGCCCCCTGCGCGGGCGTCGCCACCCACGTGGCGCTGAGCAGGGACCCAGCCCGCCTCTGGGAGCCGCCCCCGGGTGCTGCTGGGTGACGGACACCTGCCCCCGGCGCGGGCCGCCGGCAGGGCCAGAGAGCCGCACCTCGTCCCGCAGAGAGCGGCCCCCCCCCCCCGGCTTCCTCCCGCTCCCCGCGGGCCGGGGCTGCCTTTCCTCGGCCCCGCCCCGGGGGTGGAGCTTACACCAGGCCCCGCCCCTCCGGCCAAATTTGCCCTCGGCCCCGCCCCCTCCGTCGCGCCGCCCGCCGCGGTTCGGGCGTCGCCGGGGCGCCCGCGCTCCCACGCATGCGCACACAGCCGGCTCCGGCGCGCTCTCGCGGCCCGTCGCCGCCGCGGCTCCGTCCCCTCAGTGCCCGTCGTGCGGGGCGAGCGTGGCGATGGCGGCGCAGGAACGCCCCGCGCCGCGCTTCGTCTACGTGACGCGCTTCGGCTCGCACCGGTGCGGCGGCGTGTTGCGGCTGGGCCGCCGGCGGGGCGCGGCCGCCGAGGAGCCGCGGGGAGCGGCGGCGGCCGCGCGGCCTCCCGACCCCCGGGCCCCTCAGCCGTCGGCCACAGGTGGCGCCAGGGGCTCGCCGCCCGCCTTCCCGCCCCCGCTCTGCGACCCCGGCTCGGGAGGTCCGTGGGTCCCGCCCCCCTCGCCCCTGGCGGCCCTGGGCCGGGCGGGGGCGGGAGCTCAGTCCTGGCGTTCGCTTCCGGGGCGCCCCGGAAGGGCCTCTGAGGTCAGATGAAGGTCAAGGCGCCTGGGTTCCCGGCCTGAATCTCACCACAAAGGATGCCCCCCACTCCCCCCCGGAGTTCCCCCTTCCCCGAACAAGTCGGGGCTTTGGTGTGCTTGGGGGTCTTCTTCCCGGGATTCGTCAGCATTTCTGAGCTGGCGGCTTTCAAATGGAGCGCCGCCTTTGCGCCCAGAGGCAGGACAGGGCCCGGGAGATTGTGCAGGGGCTCAGGCGTCTCGCTTGCAGGTCGTGGACTCCCCTGCACCGCCCAGAAATTGTCCCTGAGCACTGAGCTGGGGGTGACCCCCGAAACCAACCAACCAAAATCCAGGATGTCTGGGAGCCGGGAGATCGATCGTGCAGCGCTGAGGTTGCATGTCTCTAGCATGTGCCGTGCCCAGGGGCACCGCGTGGCTCCCCAAGCAGTGCCAGGTGCCGCCCTGGAGAGAGGGTCCCAGCACCAAGGAGGTGTCCGAACAACTTAATCCTTGGCACCGCAAGGCCCAGCTGCACCCATCATACTGCCAAGCATTGAACCTCTCACGGGGTTAGCAGAAAATCCCGGAGCAACACTCAGGGTGCCTGCTCGCCCCCACAACGAAGAAAATAAGACAAATTGCCTTTCCATTGGTTCTCGTTCGGGGTGTTGTAGATGCCAAATGTTTGTCTGTAGTTAGAGCTTCTCTGTGAGTGGGTGTCCTCAAAGCTGGTGGTTCTAAATGAGCACAAACTAGCTTTGTTTGTTTGGTTTTTGGGTCACACCCCGCGAGGCACAGGGGTGACTCCTGGCTCATACACTCAGGAGTTACTCCTAGCGGTGCTTGCGGACCGTATGGGTTGCTGGGAATTGAACCTGGGTCAACCACATGCGAGGCAAACGCCCTACCTGCTGTGCTATTGCTGCAGCCCTGCATTAGCTTTTTCAGTGCCAACTTACTTAGGATTCGTTGACGTGTTCTTTTGAGACTTGACAAAGTTATATGCCTGGCCAGTACCCCTGTCTCCCCATTAAGACTCCTGCATCCCTTTGGTGGGCCCATTCATCTGTCTGGGCTTTTATTCAATTAATTTTTGTTTTGTTTTTGAGCCACACGCAGCTGTGCTCAAGGCATACTCCTGACTCTGTGCTCAGGGATCAGTCCTGGCAGTACTCAGCAGACCATGTACAGTGCTGGGGACAGAACTGGGGTTTGGTGTGGAAGGCAAGTGCTTTAGCCCCTAGACTGTCCTCCCTGTAGGACCAGATTCGTGATACTTGTTTAAGTCAATTGTTCAGGTTGCTGGGTTTAATATTATTTATACTTTGGTTTATTTTGGGCTTGGGGACCATACCCAGGACCACATGGTACCTTAAATCTAATTTGAGTCTCCTGTTTGCAAAGCATATAGTCAGCCCTTTGGGCTATTTTCCCAGCCCCGTTGAGTAGTGACTTTCAAATTGAAAAAGGTAAGAGGCTTCCTAGACCCTTCTAGATTTTTTACCTCTAGTTGTTTTTCTTTTTTTAAATTTTTGGGTCACACCCGGCATTGCGCAGGGGTTACTCCTGGCTCTGCACTCAGGAATTAGTCCTGGCAGTGCTCAGGGGACCATATGGGATGCGGGAATCGAACCTGGGTCAGCCGCGTGTAAGGCAAACGCCCTACCCACTGTGCTATCGCTCCAACCCCATCTCTAGTTATTTTTAACACATTACCCACAGCATTATATAAGCTAATTGGTAAATTGGCATTTAATGATCAAATATGTATCAACAAGCATAAAACTCCCCAAAGAGCTCTGGGGGCAATTTATAATGGTCTCCATTTTAGGACAGTTATCCTTTAAATTATGTATTGCCCTTGATATTCTACCTTCACAGTCCTTTCTTTCTTTTAAATTTAGGCTTAACCCAGGAGAATTTATCTAAAAAGTTTGATTTCCCCATACCTTTGAGTGAAGCTTCCAAAAAAATGAAGAAAAAGAAAAAGGTATATTATTATAAAGTCATGAGAAGTATTTGAGTTTCAAATGGACCTTTTGAATGTGTGAAGATACTCAACACAGTAAAATAGTTTTATCTTTTGAAAAACATATTGAAATGAGAAAATACAACTGAGTAGCGATGGAACTGGTTTGGGAATAATTACTGAGACATTTTCCTTCTAGTATGTGAGGGTATAAAACTCATTTAAATCAAAATTTTTAAAGCATGAAGATGAATGTGCCATAGAAAATAAACTCTGATAGTGTAATGCATGAAAGAAAAATGTGTGTTTCATAGAAAAGAATAATGGGTGAATAATGGTGTCAGGTGGCTCTCTTATTGTTTTGTTTTGGGCAGGGGCCACACCTGCTGGTACTCAGGCCTTACTCCTGACTCTGTGCTCAGTCCTGGACAGTGCTTAGAAGAGGTGTTGGGGATTTAATTCTGGTTGGCCACATGCAAGACAAGTGCCTCACTTATTAATTCTCTAGCCTGTATTGCTCTTTTAAACTAACAAATAGATAGGCCACTTCCAATGGTCCAGCACAGTGCCTGGCTGGATGTCCAGCCCCGCAAAACCCCTGAGAGGAACCCTGGTGATGCCCAGAACCAGCAGCAGCAGCTAAAGAGCTAAACCCAGAGATGCAAATTTAATTTCTAGCAGGAAAACTACCAAGGACCATCAGTGACTGTGAACCATCTTCACCTCTAGGTGTTCAGATGTCACGGTGAACTGGAGTGGTTTCATTAGACTTGAGATTGATCACTCTGCTCATCTTGAATTCCACTTCAGTGTAAAGATGGGTAACAATGCCACGTTAGAATGATATTGTTTCTCAGCCTTGAGCTTATTCTCTTTATACTGCACGTATAGGATAAAATAGCATTCAAGGCAACTATTGTTCACTGCACGTATGCTTAGAGGGAGCCACTAATCTTCTCACTGTGATAGGAAATACTTCTTGCCAGACTACTTTTCTCTTGGGTGAGTAGAAAGGAACAATAGCTCATTTAGTTATGACTACTGTTCTCCAGCTATTGGGGCCAAAGTGCTTTCCCTGTGTTTTTCATTCATTGTAATCATCCAGTGTTCGAACTTATTCCTAGAGGACATAAAACACTTGCCCAGTGTCATGCAGCTGGTAAGTGGCAATGCCAGAATTTAAGCCTAGATTGACCTGTCTGATTCCGTATTCCTCATTTTTATTTTGTAAGGGTAGAGACTCCCAAGCAGTGCTCGGGGGCCCAGGCACTACTCCTGGCAATTTTTGGCCAGATGGGCCAGAAGTTGATTGTTAAGGCTATAGTGTGCTTCAGTCCTGTAGAACCAGGGGTCACAACCACAACCAGCTATGCTTAGGAGGCCACATGTTTGTGGGGGATCAAACCCAGAAGTGCCTTAACCCTGGCACTTGCTAAGGCATACACCTTAACTGTTATACACTCTCTCAACCCCAGTTGTCATTCTTTATGTTCTGGTATATTGAGATTCTAGTAATTTTGCTTTGCTATATTCTAGGAGAAATGTTTAATTATTCGCTAGAATAAAATCCATTAAAAAAACCAAATCATTGCCCACCAGCTGGAAATAGAACCTCACTGTTGTTATTACCTTTTTGAACAGAATTGGATATGTTGGAGCCATTTAGGTAGGACTTTATTGAAATTGCTTTTGAAAGAAAATTTCATCCAGAACAGTGCATTTAATTACTATATAAAAAAAGAAATGCTAGGAAGTCGGGGTTAAAAAAAGGTCAGAGAATTCAGTGATTGTGGGAAAACAATTACATTTAAGTTTTATACCTCTAAGTACTAATATTGATTTATAACAATAATATCAATGGACAGCAAGTGGAGTCCAGTGGCAACTGGTTGCCTCCATCAAGATGTTTTCCTGCTTCGCTGCTCACTGTCCCTTCATTTGCTTATCTTTTTAAGGATTCGGCATGGACCAGTGTACACAAAGTCATTTCCAGAATGCTTAAAGAAAATGAAAAGTATAGACTCAGGCTAAAGTGTCAACAATCATCTACTGAAAGTAAGTTAACACTTTTATTTACTTATTTTTATTTACTACTTTTGGAGTTTTTTAACCGCATCCAATGGTATTGAGGGCTTACTGATGATTTTGTGGTCAGGAGTCTCTCCTGGCAGTGCTTGGAGGACCATAGACCATGCCAGGGATTGAATTGGGGTCGGGCATTTGCAAGGCAAGTTCCTAAATCCCTGTAATATCTCTTTGGCCTTGTCTGTACTCTCTCTGTGGCCTTGTTTTGGGGTTTGGGGCAACATATGGCAGCATTGGGGCTACTCCCAGCTCTGTGGTCAGGGATCACAGGATACAGGATATCGAAAGTGGGCCTTTTGCATACAAAACATGCTTTCAGCCTTTTGAATCCTCCCACCTCGTCACCCCACCACACGTTGGGGGAGGGGTGCTTACTCCGGACTTGGTGTTCAGAGAACTCTCCTGGTGGTGCTTAGTGGACCAGATGTGGTGCTGGGCATCAAACAGGGTTGGCCGCATGCAAGGCAAACACGTTATCCCCTATACTGTCTCTCGGGCCCCAAAGTGCTGGTTTCTGGTTGTTTTGTTGGCTTGTTTGCTCCTATCCAGCTATGCTCAAGGCTTACTCCTGGCTCTGTGCTTAGAGATCACCCCTGGCGGGGTTTGTGGGACCATATGCGGTGCCAGGGATTGAGCCAGGGTCAGCCTGTACAAGGCAAGTGCCTCCCCCCGCTTTATTATAGTGAACAAGGGCTGCTCTCATGATTTAGTCACTATTGGGTCCCCTTAGACCAGTGGATGTGCTCGCTCACCTTTTCCATACACGGTGGCATAAGTAAGGCGGCCATCTCTGCCCTTTTCAGCGTGATGTAAAGTACAGAACCCTTGAAAGTGGTAGTTAGGGAAAGAACCTGGTGAAGTGGTGGGCAGGAAGAGAGTGACTGGAGTTGTCTTGCAGGAGGCATTGAGCATGTTCACAGAGTGAAGTCAACATGCCCTCTTCATTCTTGATTCCCATTAGGAATGAATACAAATTCATTCTTAAATGCAACTTGAATACAAATTACAAATGTGCCCATTTTGCTGAAGAACAATACCTGAGCTCCAGTCAGAAATTAGGTAGTCTTGTCACTTCCTGTCCATGGGTGCAATTTAATTCATTCCACAAGACTCGCCTTTGAGTCATGGCCTTGATGTCATGATTTCGTTACTGGAAAACAACTCAGAAATCAAACTGTGATCTAAAGCTGTGTCAGTACTGAGTTGGGATGGTGGCAAGAGAAGACTCAGAATGAATTTAATCATTAAAAGTATTGGCAGTCCTAGATTCTCAAAGTTTCAGAGATTTACATAACAAGCAAGGGCTTGTTATAGTTCAGTGGGCTGAGCACATGCTTTACATGTGAGTGGCTTAGGGTTCAATCCCTGGCACCACATAGTTTTCTGAGAACTCTTGGGAGCAACCCTTGAGCACAGGAGTTGCCTCTGGGCCCTGCAGCGTGTAGCCTCCAAACCCACAAAAAATCACGTAGCAAATCATACCATATGATTTGAGAGATCATATTTTTTCCTTCACATGCCCCTCTTAACATACATGCTTACTGCAGGTTCATAGGTTTGATGATAGACTCTATTTTGCAAGTTAGTAAACCCACAGAATGAAATTTTTTGAAGAATATTTTCATAAGCTAATAATTAGAACAGAATACCATCTAAGCAACATAACACAGGATACTCATTACTGTTCACGTAATAATGTATTAATAATAGCATAAGTTGTTTGCAATAAACCTGTGTTTGAATGAGTGATATTTGAATTATCTCTTCTTACTCAATTAAAGATAATGAGAGGCTGGAGAGATTTCTCAGCGGGCTAAGTGCATGCAAGGCCCTATTTCATTTCCCAGCACTGCATGGTCCCTACTGCATAAGCATCACTAGAACCAGCCCCCCAGCACAGACCCAGGAATAGAGCCTGTGAGCACTGCTAAAGGTGCTTCCCACAAACACCAAAATTCAGAAGTTAAAACCCCCACATTCAGAAGGTATAGAGGAAGTGTGAGTGGTAGATCTCTATGCAAGAACTTGGACATTGTTTCTTTTCAGAGTGTTAATCCAAATCCATGAATTTTAAGAAACATGCTCCCTTACATCTGATTTTACCCTGACCAGAGCGTTAAATTTGCCATGTCCTCTTATGTCTCAGCAAGAAACCACCTACTAGGTATATCTTGCCAGAGTTGCTTAAAACAACTTAAAATAATATGCTGGTTTTCCAGAAATACCTCTCTTAAACAAAAGATGTTCTTATGATTCATTATTTGGTTGCATAACTTTCAACCAGAATTTAAAAAACCTAATAATTTCATTTAAAAAATACATATAATTTCATTTCTCCATATTTTCGGAGGGGGAAACCAGACCTGGCAATGTTTAGGGGTTACTCCTGGCTCTGCATCCAGGAATTACTCCTGGAGGTGCTTGGGGGACCATACAGAATCCTCGGGAATAAACCCAGGTTGCCCCCTTTTAAGGCACACGCCTTGCCTGCTGTACTATCACTTCAGCCTCTCTTCATATTTTTTGGGGGGATTGTTTGTTTTTTTGTTTTGGGGGCCACACCTGTCACTGCTTAGGGATTACTCCTGGCTGTGTACTCAGGGAACACTCCTGGTGGGCTCAAGGAACCATATGGGATGCCGTGGATTGAATCCAGGTCAGTTGCTTGTAAGGCAAGCACCCTACCTGCTGTACAATCTCTCTAGCTCCATCCTTCATTAAATTTTTGATAATGGGAAAAACCCTAAGAAAAACCCACTTTAATAATTTTCCTTACATTTTCTATCCCTAAACTCTAGTGGTACAAAATAAATCATCATCTTCTGCTAAGGATCCATGGAGATTCAGTTATGAAAGGCTGGCTTCTCCCTGCCTTTCTTCCTCTTTCCATCCTGCCTTCCCCCACCTTTGCTGTCTACCCACTGCTAGTTTCAGCTGTGTTTCCTTTCTTCCTTTCTTCACCCAGTGTTCGGCATGTGTAGTCAGTGGTTTACACATCGATTAAATATAAGACTTTCACTCAAGAGCTGGGGGTGGGGGTTGTAGTGATAATACAGCAGGTAGCGCATTTTCCTTGCATGTGGCCAACCCAGGTTCGATCCTTGGCATCCCATATGGTCCCTCTGAGCACTGCCAGGAGTAGTTTCTGAGTGCAGAGCCAGGACTAACCCCTGAGCATCACTGGGTGTGTCCAAAAAAGCTAAATAAATAAACAAACAAACATTTTTTAAAAAGGAGCTAGGAATGAAGGTCAGAAGAAAGAGCACTTTCCTCACATGTGTGATGCCCAGATTTCATCCCGGGTGTCACACACACACACATGCACATGTACACGTACAAACAAACAGTCCTTCCTTTGGGCCTTCACAATTATTTCAGAATGACCCTTTCCATGGTTTATATATTTTTCTTTCATTCTGACCTTTGCTCTTAAGTTTAGTTCTTGGGAAAAAAATGAATGCTTTCTACTTTTTCCTTTTTCTGATACTGCTTTCTGAATGTCCTGGAAGCAACTCACAGTCTCAAGTCAGTATTGACCCAGCTTTAGGTCACAGTTATCTATTCTGTCTGATCACCTGACTCTATTTGTGACTTTTTTGTTTCGTTTTGTATTTTGTGCTTTGGGGACCACTCAAGGATTACTCCTGGCTCTGTGCTCAGGGTTCATTCCTTTGGGGACAGATGTGGTGCTAGAGATTGAACTGGGGTTAGCCATATGAAAGATAAGTGCCTTAACCCCAGTGCTAGCTCTCCAGCTCTTGTATTTTTTTCTTTTTTTGGGTCACACCCAGCGATACTCAGGGGTTACTCCTGGCTCTGCACTCAGGAATTACTACTGGTGGTGCTCAGGGGACCATAAGGGATGCCGGGAATTGAACCCAGGTCAGCTGTGTGCAAGGCAAATGCCCTATTCCCTTTACTATCACTCCAGCCCTGAGCCCTTGTATTTTTTTTTGTTTCTTTTGCTCCCACTTACAACAGATGTTAGAAATAATTTTTGGCCTTCTTTTCTCTTTATTTGCTTTAGGTAATGTTCCCATTTTTATAGCTTTAATTTCTCTTTCTGGAGCTTCTTTGAAATGTCACATGTTCTAAACTGAACCTATCATTCCTCCTCTCACCCCTTTTATGTTGTAATTTTGCCCCTCTTTAAAAAAAATCACATGGTTACATTAAATTTTTTTCCACTAAAAAACATTTTATTTATTTTTTTTCCAGATTTACACATTTTTGTGCTTGGGTTTCAATTATACAATGATCAAACACCCATCCCTCCACCAATACGCATTTCCCAACACCACGGATCCTAACATTAAATTTTTAAGAAAAGATTGTGGCTCGTCGGGTTGGGTTTAGAAAATAATAGAAAAAAGTAAGGTGGAAAGGAAAAGTGGAGTTTTTGAAGTGGGAATGTTGGGGAGAGAAGGCAGGTTTTACACTTTAATAGAGCACCTTCATTGAGGCTAAGAAATTAGTGTTTAGGGATGGGCAGTGGGTCCCGACTACCTTATTTGTGGTAGTTGTAGTGAAGAAAAGTATCAAAATAGGTGAAGGGACCTGAGTGATAGTACAGCAGGGAGGGTGCTTGCCTTTCATACAGCCAAACCAGGTTTGATTCCTGGTACCCTATATGGTCCCTGGAACACTGCCAGGAGTAATTCCTGAGTGCAGAGCCAGGAGGAACCCCTGAGCACTGCCAGCTATGGCCCAGACAAAAGCAACCTCCTCCAAAAACCAAAACAAAACAGAAAAGTATATGAGGTGTGTTCGAAGAGACTACCTTGAGTGAATAGGTCAAGACTTTTTAATCAGTTTAGATAGTGAAAAATATGGAGTATTCTCTTAAGTTTCCTTTTTTCCAAGGGCCAGAGCCATAGTATAATGCAAGTAAAGAGCTTGCCTTGCCACATGGATTGGATCTCCAGCATCCTGTTTGGTCTTGCAAGCCCTGTGAGGGGTTAGTGCAGAGCCAGAGCTAGCCTTGAACTTAGCTAGCGTTGCTCCCCAGCCCCACAAAAACTTTTCTTTTCTAAAAGTTACATAAATAATGCAGACACATCCAAATTATTCTTTGCCCAAGGTCACTAATTTTTTTTAAACATTTTTCCACCTTTCTTTTATCATTCTCCTCTGTTCGCATGTGTGAAGAATCATCCCCTTATTTCTGCTTGTACATTCAAGAACAAGGATCTTTTATGTACTCATATTGTTGTTATCAAGTACAGGAAACTTAAAATTGGCCTAAAGCATACATGTTAGTTGTTTCAGTCAAGTACCTGGGGGTTGGGGAGGAGATTGGGACCCCTGCCAGCAGTACTCAGGAGATACTCCTGACTCTGCTGAGGAGTTAACTCCTGGTAGTGCTCAAACCAGGAACAGCTGCATGCAAGGCCAGCAACTCAACCCCGATACACTATCTCTGGCCACTTAGGTGATATATCTAATTGTGATCTCTCTTTTTCCCAGTTTTTTTGGGGGCATACCCAGCTATGTGTGCTCAGGGTTTACTCATGACTGTGTGCTCAGGGATCACTTCTGGCAGGGCTGGGCGACCATCTGCAGTGCTGGGGATCAAAGCTGGATTGGCTGCATGTAAGGCAAGCACCCTGCCCGCTGTACTGTCTGAATGGGCCCTGTTTAATCTGACTTAATCTCTAATACCTTTTCAGGCTTGAATTTTCACCATGTTGATTTTTTGTTGTTGATATTTTTTAAAAGAATACAGCTCACTTGTTTTTCTGACTATTCCATTGGACTTGTTGATACCTTTTCATGATTTGATTCACATTTTGCGTTTGTTGCTTTAGAACTTCGTGTAAGGAACATTTTCTTCTCAAAGTATCGCCTCTGGCATCAGTGATCTTCATTATTTCTCACTGATGATGTTAAGTTGGCTCACTGGTTACGTGGCTGCCCATTTCTCTGCTATATATAGTGGCTGTTTTCCTATTGTAATTAATACATGTTGTCTGGAAAGATAACCAGAGACTGATGATGCCTTTATGCGCCATCAGCACAGAATGCTGTAAAGCACAGATCGATCAGAGCGGCAGTTGGAAAGAATCTGGAGGAGCAGTCTGGCACAGAGGCAGGCCAGGAGGTTAAAGGGAAGGTCTGGGGATTGTCATCACTGGCAGGGTAGCAGGTGGAATTCCCTTACACGAGCAGGATGGAGGGGTGGGGAGGAGATAGAGAATTAACTACATAGAGAAGAAAAGACCCTGAATGAAGAAATAAAAAATTCAGGAAGTTGGGAGAAAGAGCTGACTGGGTGAAAGGTTGAGCAGTTGTTTGGTAGGATTTTCACCCGAGGGCCTCAGGCAGGCTGGCCATTGGAATGTGGCATCACTGGTATCAAGACTATACAAAGACCGCCCCCCACCCCCCGTGGTTCCAGCAGGAGAGGTGGAGGGGATGCTGCCCGTGCAGAGAGATAGGGACAGACTAACAGCAGAGTACAATGCCGCAGCGCCAGATAGGAGTTCCAGGCTTAGCCAGGAGAGAGAGGACAAATGGAACATGCAGGAGATCAGGGGTGCACAGGAGAGCAATGACCTTGTTCACTGAGAACATTAGGGACACCAAGTAGGTTTGGAAATAGACCAAAGAAAAGATTTTCAGAGAGCACCTCGAAGAAAAGCAGAAGTGCCAAGTGACAACAGTGTCCTTGTTTGCAAGTATATGAAAGGCCTGTGTATGATACAGCATTTCTGGGACATGATTCTCATAGGTGGGACTGTTAAGGTCACCCAAGGTGTTGGCAGGAGTTGGAGGGGAGAAGAAAAATAGGATCAACATAGTAAGTCCATTAGATGTGTGTTACTGTCAAGTGGAGAGAGCAAAAGTCATAGTAAGAACTGGGCTGGAGAGGTAGTCCAGAGGGTGAAGCATTTACCTTGCATGCAGCCAAACTTGGTTCAATTCCTGGCACTCCATGGGGCCCCCCAAACCCAGGAGTGACCCCTGAGCACAGAGCAAGGAGTAAGTCCAGAGAACTACTGGGTGTGGCCCTAAACACACCCTCCCCCCAAAAGTCATAAGAACCAAAAATTCAGGGTGAGGTTGTTGCTGGGCAGTCTTAGAAATGTCAACAATGTTCAGTGAGTACTGATAGTGCCATCTTCTATTAACACCTTTTAATTTTGTCACATTTTATTTAGGAGTGAACCCTGTGGATCTGTTGACCAAAGAAGATTGTGAAGAGTTTAAAGATGGAACTTTAAATTGAATCATAACCTCTTTGTTTGGGTGGTTTGTTGGAATTAGAATTTCAGTAATTGGATAGAATGACATATTAGGGCACAAAATTAATAGTATTTTGGGGTCAGAGCAGTGCTGGGGATCGAATCCAGGTTGACCACATGCAGGCAAGTGCCCTATCCATTGTACTATCTCCAACCCCTAAAATTTTTTTCTTCTAGCATTTCCACTACATTCTCATGGTTTCCATTTCTTTGATGAAATTCCACATCTAACCTTGCATTTTTTCAACCTTTTCCACCAGAAGCTTTATTCTGTAAATCAAAGTTATTTTCAATTCCTCCTGTTCATTTCCAACATCAGCATCGCATGAATCTTTCTTTTGGTTACAGTAAGTTGACTCCTGGGCTTGTTTCCTTGTATGTCTCTTGACCTGAAGGGGTATGTTTAAGCTACACCAGATGGTGTTCAGAGCAGGAGAAAATGCTCCTTCTGTTTGTGGTTGCTGCAGATTCGTCCTCCACACTGATTCACAGTCAGCTTTATTAAATAGGGATGAATGATTCCTGGGAACTTGATCAGTATTTGGCATTCACCCCAGGTAGGCAGGTGCTGGCATCCGGTCTCACCTCAGAGGTACTTGTTTTTCCTTAGATTTAAAATTAGTGGTTTGCATTGGGACCTTGCTTGGCATTCTGACAACTCAAGAAAAATGATGATTTTGCAGATATTCAACTCTTTTTTTCTGTTTGTATGAAAGTCAGACTCTTTCCAGTTGAGTACAGCCAAAGCTAACTCCAGAAATTTAGCCCATCAAACCTTGGTGGGTGATCATTAATTTCCTCTGGATGTGAAGTTCCAGCCACAATCTCTTTTTTCTGTCAAACATGGATTCAAGGATGCAAGTTGGGTTCATCACTTATTATTGGCTCATGACCTTGATTAGAGTGTGTTGGATTTTTACTTAGTTACTTTTCACAATACAGTAAGCAACCATGATCATACCCTCCCCCTGCCCACAACAATATGAGTCAGCCCGAGGACAAGTGTCATGCCCCCTGTGCCGCCACCGTGGCTCCCTTGTTCTACTTTATCAGCAGCAGTGCTCAACCTCAAGGAAAGGAGAATAAAAATCACGGTGAACTATAGTTCCTCAATACACAATCAAAAATACCCCACAGCGAGTCCTTGTACTGTCAGAAGCTCTCTGCTCCAGAAGAGGACGAGCCCATTAAAACATTACATTGTCTGTCTTAAGTAGACACGTTTGTTAAACAGAACAAGAAAGCTAGAAGCAAAAATTAATAATAGATATTTACAGTCCACTGATCCACGCAGAGGAGCTTGGGCCTGTAAAAGGAATTTTCCACATGGTCTTCCACATGCTCAGTGAACTTAAATTCAACTATTGATTTTTATCGTTATTGGCTTACTAAACTTACTTACTAAACTAAGAAAATGATTTATGTCTTCTATTGGTTTAAAAGTAAATATATTTTGGGGGAGGTAGACAAAAAAAGTATTGATTAAAAAAAGTACTCATAAAACCATTTGTATAAAATTCCTCTAATAATTTTATTTTAATCTGTATGTTTTCACATGGTAGAGACCTCACTGTCTGTACCACTTTGATTTTTCTTTTGTATTTTGGAAATTCTTTGTGCAAAATAAATACATAATAAAAATGTGTGAGTGGAGAGTGGAAGCATGAGTGAGAGAATAAGGAATGTGAAAGAAGAAAACATTGAAAAGAAAATAAATACCTGCTGGTCAACTTTGTGATCCTCCTTTAAACAGGAAAGCCTTGAGTCTTTGGTTTGTTTTCGTTTTTGAACCACACTTGGACATGCTCAGGGCTTACTCCTAGCTCTGTACTTGAGGATCACTCCTGGTGGAACGTGGGAAACTCTGTGCAGTGTTAGGTATTGAACCCAGGATGACCAAATGCAAGGCAAGCACCTTACCCCCTGTACTGTCTCTCTGGCCCCTGTGACATTATTGTTACTGACCGCCTAATATTTCATCTTATGGGATAAACCCAGTTTTTACCTTCTGCCTGCTGCTGGTAGATATTTAATTTGCAAGGATTCAATCGATCTCTATTTTCACTAAGCCACAACTATACAGCAATCATGTCAATTTTAGGACAAGAGGTATTAAGGACACGTATAATTAATAAGGTCACATTCCTCCCCACTGCTTGTTCTTCAGTTTTGTAATTCAATACCAAGGGTTTGTCATTGTCCAATGTTGTCTCTTCCCTTGTTCCGTCTGTTTCCCACAGATAAGAGAGATCATCTAGATTTGTTCTTCTGCCTCTGATTTATTTCACTTAACATGAAGCCCTTCAGTTCCACCCACAATGCAGCAGACTTGCATGATTTCATCTTTCCTTACGCTGCATAGTATTCCAATGTGTGTACAATGCCAAGAATTTTATTGGGCAGAGACTGCTTGGATGTTCATGTGATTTCTGCCTAGATGGGCAAGAGAACAATCAGAGTTGTTAGGGGGGAGTGATCTGAGAGAGATTCAGGGAGGAGAATGGTCCAGACTTGATGTCCTGATGTAGATGAGAGGAAAGAGAAACGAACTGCCCTCCATTTTCTGGCGGAATAGGGGGGAACGATGGAGCAGATCAATGAGAGAAGCAATGTAGAGGGGAGAGTGGGGCAGGGGACAGGGGTGCAGTAGAGGGGAGAGGCTTGATGTGGGGAGGGGTTTTTGTTCTCCCCACAGAGACTGCACTCACTGGAGACTGAACTCACCATCTAGGCCAGGAGGCCTTTTGTGCCTGGAGGTGGGTGAGCCGGTCCTCAGATGGGAAGACAGTTGCAAGGGTTGTCTCTTAGAAACATCCATTTTGAAGCCACGTTAAAAAAAAAAGAGAAAAACTTTCTCACAGTGCCTTTACTCTGATCGGTTTATGTTGTCATAAAGGCCTCCCCAGACCTTAATTGGAAGGTTCTTTGTAAGCATCCTCCTTGGACTAGGTTGTTGTCAGTTTCCTTCCCTCACCCCAAACCCCTGCAAATTTTCCCCTTTATTTAGAGAATCTCCCTCTTTATTTCTAGCCAATCACAGGAGACATTTTGACTGCCTTCTCTGCCATTTGCCTTTCCGGCTCTCTCTTGTCCTTTAAATCAGAAGTCAGCAAAGTCCCTTCCTTTTTTTTTATTATAAGAAGAAAGAGAATCTCATGCTTTTCATAGCTTTCTGACTGTTATTTGAAATTTAAATATAGAGCTCCTAGCAATAGTATGAGCATAGCTTTCTTTTTATGCTTGCCTCTGGGAGATTCTGCGAACAGATTTCTAAAAAGCTTATATTCCTATCACGCCATTAACTTTTGAATAACAGTCTTAAACCGGCAACTTAACAAAATTTATAACGAGACAGTTAGAGAGCTTTTATCATCCCTTTCATTGGAGAGACTTCTATACAGGGAGACAAAACACTGAATGCTAAGGACGTAATGAAAACTGATCACAGGCGTGTTATAGAGCCTTTGAAATTTATGGTTGTGAAATAATTGCTTTCAGATAAAGCAGCATTGGAGCACTTTGAAAAAAGACTCACATCATATTCACTTTTCTCCCATTTCCAGTTCTCACAAGAGTGTCTTAGGAAATGGAACAGAAACTGCATTGGTGAAAATAAGGACAGGGGTTGACACCTGACAGATATGGGGGCAAATGAGACAGGGAGGTGAGAAGCGTCTGCTGATGACCTCATTTCATACGGGTGCTCGTCAAAAGATTTTGTTCTGTGCTTGCTTGTTCTGGGGGCCACGACCCACAGGGTGCAGGGATCACGCCTGGTGGACTTGGGGGACCATATGGGATTTGGCATATAGAAGGCAAATGCCTTACCCCTTATAGTATCTCTCTTGCACTGTCTTCGGGGTGGGGGCACACTGACTGTGCTCAGGGCTTGCTCTGGGCTCTGTGCTCAAAAATCTATCCTGTTGGAGCTCGGAGGAACATATGTGGTGCTGAGGATTAAGCCGAGGCCAGCTGTGTGCAAGTCAAGCTCCTTCAATGCTCCTTAAAATCTCTTCAACCCTTGTTTCATTCTTGATTCTGGGAGCTGAAGATGAATTGAATTTTTTTTCTTTTTGGGGTCACACCTGGTGATGCACAGGTGTTACTCCTGGCTCTGCACTCAGGAGTTACTCCTGGCGGTGCTCAGGGGACCGTATGGGACGCTGGGAATCGAACCTGGGTTGGCCGCGTGCAAGGCAAACACCCTACCCGCTGTGCTGTCTCTCCAGCCCCCGAATTGAATTATCTTTTTGACATGTTCTAAATGAACCACAGACACATTTGAAGACATTCTGTGCACCTTTCAAATGGTTAAGGTGGGGGGCAGTACAGCAGAGAAGGTGCTCGCCTTGCATGCCAAGAACCCAGGCTTGATCCCCAGCACCCTAAGTCTGCCAGGAGTGATTCTGGAGTGCATAGTCTGGACTAAGTCCTGAGCACTGTAGAATGTGGCCCTACCAAACCAAAAATAAATAAAGGGGGAAGTTGATACATAAAACAAAGAAATAGCAAGGAACCAAAATAATTATGATACATATCAGATAAGCATTATCTTGTAAGAGCTGAGCCAAATTTCCATTTTGAAAGATTTTCCATAATGACCAATTTGAAAAATAAAGCCCTTATTGTGAAGAATTTCTAGGGTTTTTTTCTAGTGAAATTTTATTTAAAAATTAAATCATTATGGGGACCAGAGAGATAGTACAATGTGTCGGACCCTTGCTTTACACATGGCTGACCCGGGTTCAATCTCCGATACCCGCTCTCATCCCCTGAGCACCACCAGGAGTATTCCTATGTGCAGAGCCCTGAACATTGCTGGGAGTGACCCCAAAACCTAAATAAAAATAAATTATTATGTGTTTTTGCTTTTTGTTTAAAAATAATGCTTTTTAAAAAAAACAATGTTTTTTGTTTAAAAACAAAAAAAAAACCAAAAACACATAATAATTTAATTTATTTCTATTTAGGTTTTGGGACTGTAGCGATAGCACAGCAAGTAGGGTATTGAACGTGGCCGTGGCCTTGCACGTGGCCTTGCACGTGGCCGACTCAGGTTCGGTTCTTTTGACCCTCTCGGAGAGCCCAGCAAGCTACCGAGAGTATCATGTCTGCACAGCAGAGCCTAGCAAGCTACCCGTGGTGTATTCGGTATGCCAAAAACAGTAACAACAAGTCTCACAATGGAGATGTTACTGGTGCCTGCTTGAGCAAATCGATGAATGGGAGGACAGACAGACAGTTTGAGCCACACCCAGAGGTGATTTGAGTCACACCCAGAGGTGATTTGAGACTTTTATTCCTGGTGCTGAGCCCAGGGATTACTCCTGGCAGGGTTTGGGATACCCTACCACAGTGCTGGAGATTGAAGCTGGGTCAACCGCATGCAAAACAAGCACCTTTCCCCCATTTATCTCTCCTAAAGCCCTAGTACAAAAGGTTGGGAAGCAAGTGCCATTGCTGAAAGAAAGGTTTGCATCCCCTGCCCCCACCCTAAAATGAGGAACTCAAAGCACTAAGCACTAACTAGGACTAACTGACCACTATACATCTATAAAAGTACAGTTTGCAAGATCGAAGGTTATCCATATGCACCAAATAACATACCTTTCATGTGAGTCTAATGAAAAAATAAATAGCAGCAACTATGTTTCTTTTCCTGACAGACCAAGCAAATGAAAGATCAGTGAGGGGGGCTGGAGCAATAGCACAGCAGGTGGGACGTTTGCCCTGCACGCGGCCGACCCAGGTTCAATTCCCAGCATCCCATATGGTCCCCCCGAGCACTGCCAGGAGTAATTCCTGAGTTCATGAGCCAGGAGTAACTCCTGTGCATTGCCAGGTGTCACCCAGAGGAAAAAAAAAAAGGACCAGTCAGTGAAGGTACAGATATTGAAATCATTTAATAGACTTGATATTTTAAGAGCTAGATATAAAATTTGCATTTATTTAGATTATAATTTTGTTTCCCTTTATACTCAGAGAATTGTAACAGAAATGGCTCATACGTTAGGCCACAAAAAAAGATGAATACATTTTCTCCAAGCAGAAGTAGACAGAAAACACTGTCGGAATATATGCAACTTCTAATCAAACTAGAAACTGATCTCTAAAGATATAAATTAACCACAGTGAAAACCAAGCATCTAGAAATTATAATTATTTTCCTGAACAACTCATTGAATCAAGACCCACATTTTGATCATAAAATATTTGAAAAAATGATCATGAAGAAACAGGAGGACTCAAGGCAATTTAAAATGGTAGCATTAATTCCTTTCATTAGCAAACAGGAAGGAGGCAAATCAGTAATCTAGGTATTTGTCCCAGGAAGTTCAGAAGAGGAAAATGAGATAATCTAAAGGAGATCAGGAAAAACATATTTAAAATATCTTTATTAAGGACCTATGGAGACAGCTCAAAGGGCTAGCTAGGGCTTATGCTTGAGGTCAGACCCGGGCATTTCACCTCACCCTGGCACCGGGGTACTGTAGGTCCAGATGTCAGGAAGAGCATCACCAAGTGACTTCCATACCTTTGAGCACTGCCTGGGAGGGGACCCCCCCCACACACACATATAAATTGATCAATGAGAAAACTAAAAACAAAACTGATTAAGAGCTGGTTCTAAAAATGCTTATCTAATGATTGAATTAGAGTAAAATGTTTATAGGGGCTGGAGAGGTAGTGCCGTGGGCAGGGCACTTGCCTTGCATACAGCCGACCTGGGTTCAATCCCTGCATTCCAGATGGTTACTTGCACCCCGCCAGAAGTGATCCCTAAGCACAGAGCCAGGAGTAAGCCCTGAGCACCACCAGGTGTGACCCAGAAAACAAACAAAAAGTGGGGGGAAGGGAATATTTGTTTACACATCCAGGTGCTGTTCTAAGCCCTGTGACTGTCTTCTCTCCCCTGGTCCTTTGGAACTCCCTGCGCTGTGTGTACTAATACTAATAGTCTTCTCAGAGTATGAGGGTCTGTTTTACGTGACCAGTTCCCCTCCCCTTCCCGCTGTTTCTGTCGTAATGCCAGGGCTCAACATACTTGTGTGAGCCTTGCATGCAGCAGACCTGGGTTCAATCCCCCGAATCCCATATGGTCCTCCAAGCCCCTCCAGGAATGTTTCTTAAGTGTAAATCCAGGAGTAAGCCCTGAGCACTGCCAGATATGGCCCCCCAAACAAAACAAGGTTGGGTTTCCTTAAGTCCTGGCTTTCTTCATCTTCACGGTCACTGTGCCCGGGCGGTGTGAGTCCTGCATCCAAGCTAAAGAAGTGGAGGTTTGGCGAGGGCGGGCCCGAGACCCAGAGTTTCCCCTAGCGCTTGGCCAGCTCCAATTTCAGACTCTCGGCCAGATGTCCTATGAAGTCATGGCCCGTAGAGATTCTGGTGGCTAAGAGTCAGGGCCCCCCTTCCAGTGTCCGGCGCTCCAGCAGTGCTGTGAATTTTCCTGGTGATGGTGACAGTGTGAGAACAGTCGTGCGCATCTCCACCAGGCCCTCCTCCCCTGTAATGGCAGCCGCACTCCTGCGAACCCAACATTGTGGCTCCTGATAGAATTCAGTTTTCAGGAACCAGAATGGTAGGACAGCGGGTGGGGTGCTCGCCTTGCACTTAGCTGACCCAGGTTCAATCCCTGGCACGCCGTAGGGTCCCTGAGGCCCCACTAAGAGTGACGCCTTAGCACAGTGCGAGGGGCAGTTCCTGAGCACACTGGGTGTGCTTGTGTGTGCGTGAGAGAGAGGACAGAGGAAGAGAGAGAGAGAGAGAGAGAGAGAGAGAGAGAGAGAGAGAGAGACTAGCTTGCAAATGAGCACCATAGTTTGTGTCCTGCTGCTCAGAGACCATGAAGTGCTGGTGGGGATTGAACCGTGTGCTCCAGCCGTTTGAGCCGTCTCCTTGGTCCCTAGCATGGGAACTGCCTTCGGTTCTTTATCCCAGGCCCCAGCAACCCAGGGCCGGTGCTGACTATTGTTTGAAAATATTGTTCCGGAACATCTCCAGAGGTGGCCCCTCCAAATGAGCACGCCCACTTCTGCCGTTAAAAAATATTTTTTCCTAAAGGTTTAAAAGATTGATTAATTGGGGGGGGGGGTGTCGCACAGAATCCCTCCCCCTTTTTGGAAACCCTTTTGTCCCAGGCTGTGGTTGTGGCCATGCATGACGAACAGCAGGTGGTGCCCGACGACAGATGGTGTGGGAGCCCGCGCCTCGGTGGGAGGGGGCGCGAGCGAGCAGGCGGCAGCGCCGGGAGCTCTTCCCCATCCCTCGCTCTCTCGCTCGCTCGCGCCTCGCTCTCAGAAGCTCCCGGTCCAGACTCACGCCGGGCGCTGTCCTTTCAGCACCACGAGCTCAGCTGCGGAGGGCAGACTCCTGGCTGGCCGCCTCCTGTAGGGAATCGCCTTGGATCTGCTCTGACCCCCCAGAGTGCGACGCAGTAAGTAGCATTCGCTCGGCCATCACCGCTCCCCAATATGCCCCCACCTTGCGCACCCCTCCCCCACCCCAACTGCTCTGTTGGGTCTAAGACAACATCCCCTCAGTAGAACTGACAGAGAAATTCAGTGGTGCGGGCCTTTGGGGGTGGGGGTGCGGAACCGAGCCCTCTTTGACTTCTGTGGGAACTGGAGGGGCATAAGGGGGGGTGCCGTGCTTATTGAGTTGGCAGTCTTGCAGCATGGGGGTGGCCAACTTTCCGTGGAACCCAAGAGAGCGAGGCATTTGCTAGGTGCCCAGGATATCAGATTTGATCTTGAGGCAATGGGGACGGTGGGGCGGATAGGAAAATGGGATTGGAAGCAGCCCTTTTTGTTCGAGGAAATGGTTTTGCCGATGCCATCCCGATGTCAGAGAAGAGGCACCCCGACACTGAGACACTGCGCGCGTTTATTGTATTTCAGGGAGGGCGCAAAGGGGGGAAATAAGCCCCATATAAAAGATAGCACCCGAGGTGGGCAGGTGAAATGTTCCCTCCTGCAGGGCAATCCTGAGTAATAGGATTTCATTATCAAAAACTGCACTACGAATCAGCTTTTTCACTGAGATATGTGTCTACATGGGCTCTGGGGTCTTGGATATTTGTGTGTGTGTGTGTGTGTGTGTGTCTGTGTGTGTGTGTCTGTGTGTGTGTGTGTGTGGCTTTGCTTTCAGTTTTTCAAATATGAGGTCTGTTGAACCCTCTGGGCAGGTGGCATATTTTGATGGTGAAAGAAGTTTTCCTGGATAATGAGAATTGTGTCAGGAAATCTAGCGGAAGATCACTGACGGGTCTCTGAACTGGAAGGCGCCGGAGCGGAGCTGTTGAGGACAGCGCTATTTTGGCTGTTTTCTCTGCCGTCAGCCTTCTCTCCCTGCTTCCCCTCCTCCTGTAACTCGAACCCCCCTGCTTGCCCTAGGTCCGGGAAGAAAGGTGGAAGGATGGTGAAGCTCAACGGTACCCCCAGTGAGAAGGGAGCCAAGCCACCTTCGGTCGAGGATGGTTTCCAGACTGTTCCTCTCATCACCCCTTTGGAGGTGAATCACTTACAGCTGCCTGCTCCGGAAAAGGTAAAGCAGATTGCTCTTCTCCATCTCGGGACCCCCTCACCTCGGGAAATAAAGCAGCCTCAGAGCACCCCCTTCCCAGAGCGGCTCATCCCTCCTCAGCCGACTCAGTCCCTTTTCTTCCAGAATGTACTTATTCCTTCCAGAGACTCGACCTCTCTGGTGCTATTTCAGATGTATGGTAAGTGTCTGCTCTTTGTTCGGCTTCATTTTTTGTCTCCACCTCTGTGGAGATGGCAGAGGAAAGGAACGTCTCCCTTGGAAAGTTGAACCGTAGGCTAATCAGCTGGGAGAGCCCACCGGGGGAAAAGGTGGGGTGGGACAGGTGTCTCCCAAATTGACAGGTGGTGGTTGGAAGACAGAATTGGCTGCAACCCAGCAAACCTTTACTTTGCCCCTGCTAAGGTTCTATCCCTGTGCTCAAAGTTGGTGGTAAAATGACTACAGAATCACTGGACACTCTCCAGTTGAACATTTGCATGGGCTGGAGGGTGGATGGGGAAGCATCTAAATTTCCTGGGTGGGGTGGGGCCTGGGAGAAGAGAGCATCTGCATTTGGCTTTGAAAGGTGAGTCAGTTCCTTCCAGAGAGGCCGGGGAGGCCATGGCAGGAAGAGAGAGGACAGGCCTGTGCAGGACGTGGAGGGCTCTGGGTGAGTGGCATGGCTGGAGGGAGTGTCTTTGGGGAAGGCGTGGCTGGAAGCCGGTGGCTGGCTGATGGCACATCTCCTGACATGGGAGTAACCCACGGAGAGTGGAGGAGGGCATTTCAGGGGGGCCAAGACCCGGGGGGTGCTTATCACACAGCCCCAGGTAGGAGAAGCTTCATTGTCTGGGGCCCACCCAGGAGGGCTTGGCAGTTTTCACGTCTGAGCTTTTGTATGCCTGGGAAGAAAAAGATTGGGAGGCACAGGATGAGACCCCCTGGCTTTGGAGCAAACAATGGACCAGTCCATCGGTTTGCTTTGGCTCCTTGGCATCTCCAGGAGGGCATTGTGTGCCTTAAGCAGTGGGAGCTGTAGCCAGTGAGCAGAAGAGGTGGCCAAGTCAGAGAAGGGACCTGGCGGATGGGTGGACAGTGTTACTCCATAGGAGGTGGTGCCCAAAGTGGGGGGGGGGGGTGGAAATCAAGACTCCTCTTGCCATCCTGAGAAATGGAGCAGGCCTTGAAAAAGAATGATGGAACAGGTGATTGGTGCCAAAGATACAGAAGGCACCGGTGTTCACTGGGTAGCTGCTATTTGTCTGAAAAGTGCTTCTCAGGGCTGGGCTGCTGGAATCACCCAGGGCGCTTTTGAAAAACAAAGCCCCCCAAAAAATCCCACTCTCTGGGCCACACCCTACACCAATGAGAGCAGTACCTGGGGGTGAGATCCAGGTGTCTGCCCACGTACCTTCCAGGTATGGGCTGTGTTGGGAATCTCTGGGCAGCATGTACTACACCCCAGAGAATCGGGACCGTGTGCTCATCTGGAGGAAGAAAGATAAAGGGTCAGAAAATGGTGGTGCACTGTCCAAACTCACATTGTTCAAGTTAGAGGAGATGCTGGCATCGGAAACTTGAGGTTGTGGCAATTGAGGTGAAGACTGGGAGTTGCTCTTCTAGTTTGGGAAAGATGCAGGAAATGTCTTTATTCTTTAGCCATTGACTTTAGTCATGATCATCTGCATGTGCCTGAGAGGTGGAAAACACATACAAATGCACACAGACACGCAAGCAAGCACTCGTGCGCGCGCGCGCACACACACACACACACACACACACACACACACACACACCCCTCAGGCCATCTTTCCCGACTCCCTTGGAGGGCCCACCTGCCTCCAAGAGCTTTGTGCTGTCCGTAAGAGAGGAGACCAACCCCATAACCACTGGCCAACCAGTCCAGAGGTGCCAAAGAGCTGCCCTCAGAGCTCACAGGACAAATATGCCGGGATCTACAGCACAGAAATAGAAAGCACTGTGCCCTGAAAAATACCAGACCCCACAGATGCACCCACAGGCACATGGTGAACACGCCTCAGAGGTTCCCAGTGAGGTGGTGACTGCTCCTCAGGGAAGGTGGGCATGCAGTCCAAACAGGCACAGTGATCAGAATGCAGTTAGCTGTGGCCGGCTGTGTGCGGGGCATAAGGTCACCTGGAAGAGAACAGCAATGTTGTTTTCAGGGGCTTCCTAAAGAGCCCAGAGCTGTTGGGAGCCATAGACCGCACACCCATGCTCTCTGCTCATCCTTTCTTGAGCTTCTATTTGTCGACATCATGTCGGGTTAGAAGCCTGTGTGTATTCTCACAGTGTTCTCCATGCCGCACCTTCGCCATTTTCTCTCCCCAGTTCAGTAGTTCATAGACGCTCTAGAAGGGAGTTGTTACCTTCATCCAACTTCTAAAGCTTGTGCAACTCACTGATAGAGTCATGCTCCAGCATTAGTGAGCAGCCAGGCTCTCGAACCCAGACCCTCCCTCCTCAGCGAGCAGAGGGGCCCTGCAGGCTTGGAGCTCCGTGGAGATAGTTTCCAGTGGAGGCCTCTGGTTCTTACAGAGAAAGCCCCCCAGAATGCCCGGAGCATTGAGGTTGATGAACTTCACCTTAGAGTTTTCCACACCTGGGTGTTTCACGTTGCTTTGTCAAGGTAACTTAAAGTACTGCCATTCACCATTTCTACCCGGAGGACCCCTCCCCTTCTCTGGTTATGAGTCTGATAACCAGAACTCATCCTAAGCTCGTCTCATGTGGTGGCTCTCCCAAACACCTGACCTTCCCGGTAAACACTGCTCTGGCCATACTGATCATATCTATCTCCTTACCCACTCATTCACTCTGCCACCTGCCCGCCCACCCGTCCATCTACAAGTCTACCCACCCTTTGTTCATCCATCTGTCTCTTTGTCACCCCCCACCCATTCACCTGCCTGTCTGTCCATCTCTCACCCATCACCCACCCATTCTCCGTTCATCCATCCTTTATCCAATCTTTCATCCCTCATTCATCCTGCCAGTCATCCACCTGCTCACCCACCCATCCATCTGCACGTATACCTACCCATATTTTCAGCCATCCGTCTCTTCCTCTACCCATTCCACCATCCCTTCACTCACCCTCCCCCATTCACCTACATATCTGTCCCTCCCTCGTGCATCCACTCATTCATTCTTCCATTCTTCCATCCTTCATCCAACCTTTTATCCATCCATTCATCCTACTACTCATCCATCTGCCCATCATCCATCTGCCCATCATCCATCTACTACACACTCAATCATCTATCCACCCACCCTCCCCCTTTAACAACCTGTCTGTCTGTTAATCCTCCATCCATCCATCCATCCATCCATTCATCCATCCTTCCATCCTTCCATTTCTCCATCTGCCCACCCATGCACCACCACCCCACCACTTACCCACGCATTCTTTGTTCACCCACCTGTGTTGAATACCCTCCATGTGACATGCTCCGTGTGGGGCTCCGCACCTACAGCCACGTGAGTCAGGCACAGCTGCTGCTTCCTGAAGCCTTCCTGGTGGGGCCGAGGAACTCACACAAACCTTCGCACAGCCGGAAGTATACAGACGCGCGCTGCGAGAAGGGCTCGGAAGGGATGCACACGGTGTGGGGGGCAGGAGAGGAACAGACATCGGGGGCCCTGATTCTGAGGGACACCTGGAGAGGGGGCTGGGGTGGGACTGGGGGGCAGGTGGAGCTGCCGGGGACAGGCCTGGAAGAAGCTGGAGGAGCCAAGGCGCGGGGCCTGCCGAGTGGTGGGCCAGAGGGGCTGGGGAGATGATTCTGAGGATACCGCTTCAGGTGTTTCCTGAAGGGGGTCACAGCAGACAGTCACAGGGCCCCGTTTCTGTAGAAAGAGCCGCTGGGGGGGCCTCCAGGATGAGGCCTTGCGGCGCTTTTGGTCTGCCTCTCACCTCCCAACCCGCTGTCCCTGAAGTGCCAAGCTTGTTCCCCCGAGCCAAGGCGATAGTTTCCCGCAGCCCAGCAGACAGGTGAGAAGGCAGGCGGGGCAGGGGCTGGGGCGGACAGATCAGCCAGGAGGCCTCCGCCTTCTGGTTGACACGGTGGCAGTGGTGGTGGGGGACCCAGGACAGGGACAGTGGGGTGTGGAGGTAGCTGGTTTTGGGTGGGTGCCATCCAGGGAGATGTGCCCTCCTAGTCACCTTGAGGCCTGGCTCGCCCTGGTCTCGGAGCCTTGGCAAAGGGGAATTCTGGGCGAAACGCCCCCCTTCTCCCTCGCTTTTCCTCATTGCCTGCTCTACAGGTGGGGGAACAGGACTGAGCTCTGAATATTCAGAGGCTTTCTCTTGATCAGAGGATGAGCTTTGAGAGGCCGGGACCCATTTCCACGTCAGCTGAGGAGGTGGCACCAAGGGCTGAAGCTCAGGCCTTGCGGGAGCCCTGGGTTCCGTCCCCAGAACTGTGCCAGAAATAGCACCCCCCACCCCAGCACTGCCAGGTGTGGCCCAGACCCCTCCCACCAAAATCACGTTCCACCCAACCCCAGGAGACAGGCCTCAGTGCCTGGGTTTAATCTGAGTGACCCCACAAGTGCAGACATTCCCCGCGCGCGTGGCATCCCCCTGAACTGTGCTCCTCCCTGGGGTGCAGATACAGGCTTGTGAGGTGGCATGAAGTCCTGGGCACCCCCACTCTGCCCCGAGAAAGCAATGCGGCTGAGATCTGCCCAGGGCCACAGCTAGGCACAGCCTCGCCTCGACAAAGCTTCAGGTGATTTGCCAGCTTGGCCAGGCAGCCGCCCCGCGCTGGGCAAATAGTCCCTTTCCTGTTACTAAATCTTCACAGGCCCCGGGGGAACGTGGCTCCACTGCCTTTGCTGGGCACCCCTCATTAGTGCTCAGGTGGACCACATGCAGGCAGAGGCAGGAGAGCAGGTCCAGCTCCACTCAGCTCTAGTTCCTGTGTGACTTTTTAGAGTGGCTTAACCTTGCTGGTGTTGGGTGTTTTTCCTAGCAGTCAAACAAGCCTACTCACCAC